CCAAATGTTTGGGCTGAATAAATTGTCTGTTCGATGCCCTTCACTAAACTGTGGCAAACGAGACTGTGTCGTGACTAAGTCTTATTTACGTAACCAAAACAACGAGAAAAAGACAAATGTTCGATTCGGTGTTGAATCGGTGAATTTTAATAGCACTGTGAAATAATTGAAGCATCACTCTTTCGATGCTTGGGGAACAACGGTGGTTTTCATTATTCAATGTGTGTTTTGTGATTCAAATTAGTTTCGTTCGCGGGCGCTGCTGAAGCACCGGTCAGTGAAACGTGCCGGTTTTCAAGCAGCAAGAACATTTGCATGGGAGATTCGGAACAAAAATTAAGAACGGAATGTAAAAAAAGAATGCCAAGGGCAGAACTAACAACAACAATGACGACGACGATATGGCGTTATGTGTGTCTGTGTGAAATGTGGGAACAAAGAAAATCAATTTATTATTTCTCACAAGAGAATTAAAAAGAAACCAGTCGTAAAATTGGCAAAAAAAAAATTTCGGTTCGGCCGTCTCAAATCTCACAGCCAGTAAAAATCATTTGAGGTGAGTCATCGGTGGAATGGTGACCGTTTCAAATGGTGACCGCTATGAATTGCCGATTTCAATCTAATCGTCATTCGAATGCCTATTGTATTCGATATGATGTGATGACAACTGGCTTGTTGTGATCGCAAAGAAACCGTTTCATTCATAACTCTTTTTTATTCGAGAAAGAGAGAGAGACACACAGAGAGAAACAGAGAAGAAAATACAGATCACCATTGGCTTTTTCTACAACGGAAAAAGCTATTAACGATTTCAATTGCATTCAATGAATATTCATCTAATAGATCATACTGAGAATGCGCGTCGTTTAATTGCCATTATTCATTTTTCTTACGTTCATTGTAGTATTTTTCTATCGATCTCTCCCCCTTTCTCTCTTTATCGTCTTCTAATTGAACGATAAACGACGTAATGATCGATGCTTTGTCCACTTTTTTCTATCGCTTTGCTTTCTTTTCCAAAGGGAAAAATACATATTCCGTAATGTAATTCGGGTTCAATGATCGAAATTTCGTCAACACAACTAGTTTGAGATTTCAATTGTGTATCACAAGCCCGTGGCTGTAACGAAGTTCAATATAAAGATAAATCGGAATTTATAAATGATTTTTGTCTCTTGTTTTTATTTCACTTCAAGTATTTGCAATTAACGCATTGTTCATGCTAGTTATCGGTATCGATTGAAAGCATGTCGAAACTAAAATTAAATATTTATGATGTTAATAGCCCGGCGGCTATTTGATACCGTTAACGGCTCCCATATGGTTTTATACTGAAATTCACATAATTTTGCACGGTGAAAATGTTTTAATTGAATTCCATTTTTAAACAAACGTCTGCTCGAATTTCGATTGGCGAAAATAGATGTTTGGAATTCAATCAAGCGATAAGACTACGGTAAGATTTTTATTTCAAGATGATTTTTTTTTGATAACGATGCATCATCATGATAGTTCAGAAAGTTTTTGAATGGAATGCGAATCATACGATTGGAAATTGGGTGGCAGAGACTACGTGGCGTTGATTTTTTTCTTTCGTTTTGGTTGTTTAAAGCGAAGTGAAATTTTCGCTTCATAATTTTGTGTGTTTATGTAATTGTTTTTATATCTTGTTTTGCATATTTTTTTCTTCTTCTTTCATTTCATACTTAACGAAATTTCACATTGGACGAACAATGACCTTTTGTGAGTGATATTTTTGTGTGTGTCTGTTAACCGAAACAAAGCAGATAAAAATGAGCGAGTTCTTTTCTTGATTTCAACACCCGTCGAGTATGTGTGCAGTGACATTTGGTGCATTAATATCCCACTGATATCTCTACATACTGATGTTTGTGTTATGAATTGTGTGTCGTTCGCACATTATCAGTTAATGATAGTACATTGCGTTTCTTGTCTTTATTTAGTTGTTTTTTTATTTCTTCATAAATAATTGGTATTGCATGACTCATAACATCCTCCGTTGAAATGATATCGCACTTTATTGCTTGACTAATACCATCGAAGTGAAGTGTGTGTGTGTGTGTGTTTCTGTTTGTGAGTCAGTCGATACTTTAGCCCAGAGCTAATTAAAATTTATTGACTTTTATGTTGACACAAGGCTCAACAGCAACTCTATGCAATTCGATATCATCAATTTTGAAAGGCGCTCGTTTTAAAGCAGAACATTATTTGGCTTTCAATTTTCTCTGTGTCTGTTTGTTCTTATTGTTTGCTGTTGTCAATGCGTTTGATTGGAAATGCTTTGAAATCCATTCAAACGTAATTAACTCATAAGCTTTTTATTGATTATGGGTCGAAGCAGAGCAATTTTCAGCACGTGTCAGCCAAAAAAATTCCGTCCGAACCAATTTTGTTGTTGAGTAATTTGAATTGAGGCGGCAACAAACCGAAAGTGTCACTCTCGGCGCTATATCTCGGCGTCATTTGATTCAGTGTTTATCTAAAAGTAGGCAGTTTTTGGAGCCGATTAAAGTTTGCCCTAATACGATAGCAAATTCATGTTGAATCAGCGATGCAAAAATAACCTAGAGAGCTGCCCGAGCTGAAATCTCGCATATTTGGCTTGTTTATATCAGTAAATGCGAACATTAGTTTACATTATTTCAGGCAAAATAACTTTCTGCAAAGTATATCTCAACGCTCGTCCGGTTTATGTAGTTTTGAATGTGACGCAGAATTTTAGTCGGCTTTTTCATCGAAATTTTTTCACAACATTCATTGAAACAATTCTATAAACTTTATTTTCTGGAGAAAAAAATATTTTTTTCTCTTTGTTTGTATTGAAATTCAAAAAATTTGTCATCATTATCACACCGATTGGCGAACATTGGGAAAACAAATAAAACGAGTTGAATTAAGCAAAACACCTTCTAATCTCAAGACAGTCGAACACAGACAAAATGAACGAAAAAAAATGGGCAACCGGACGGGAGTTAATTATTCACGCTGTTCATTTCAATATCAAGTTTAAATTTGTTGTTCTTGTTAGCGAAATAAATACACACATCATTGAAAACACACAGCAGCCTGGCTGCAAGTGCAGAAAGAGAACCGAGTTCAATGTTAATTACTGATATATTTTTTGCGTTCTTTCGAAATTAGTAGAATCGCGTGAATTTTGCTGCTGCTACTGCTGTTCGTTATAGTTAGCACGAATTAATGCATTATTCAAAGCATTCAACGTTGGATTTTTGTTAATTTTCCTCTCGTTATGAATTCACACATACAGACTATCTCACCGGTTCAAAGCAGGACGCACATAAGATCTGGCACTTTTTCAACTTTGTTCAAAAATTGAATTTTTCACTAAAGTAAACAGACAAAACCGCTGTGCATCAACTGCGTGTACTTTCCGCTCAATTTCAAAATTATTCGACTTGAACTTCAGTGCACGATGCGGCTTTTGTTTCACTTTTTGTTCATGCTTGAATATTTTTTGCATAAATTCTCCGGGGGGATCGGTTGAAAATTGAATAAAAAAAAGTACTTGTAAGCGGCAATTTGCAAGCATTGGGTATCATGCCTCACCGGTTCTGGCAGTAAAACAATAAACAGAACAAATTTTCAATAGAGTAATTGTTTTCAATTTCAGCGGAATTCGCTCTCGTCAGTGAAGAGTTGCTCCAATTCCGTGTTTATTCTAATTGTTTTGAAAAAGTGCTTCAGTTTCTCTTGTTCGTTTTATTATTTTTTTTTATTGAGTCAGGAATAACTTTTTCATACGGTGCTGTTAAGATACGATGAAAAAAAGTGACTAATAAGCCATTTCACACTGTTATCGTGATACAATCCAAGTTCTAGCTGTCAAAATCATAGGTAGCCGCATGCTGCGTTTAAAATATTCTCTTAATTTTCTGCAAAGAGCTCCGACTGTGTGCAATGACAGTGATTGAATATGAGCATAATAATGCAGAAGTAGCTCAGTATACGGTGAGATTTCATGAAGCCCAATTGATGTATGTGATTTTTACACCGTTGGCGTATGCAATTTATCAATGGACCGGCGAAGAGTTTGCTCATCATATCTATTTTTGGATCAGTTCAAGTTTAAAATATATCGCATGTACTAAAATACTACATGACCTGAGATTGAAGAAAGAAAATATTGATCGAAATGTGTCAACTTTTTTCCAGCACAGTCTCTCGCTCTCTCTCGATGGGTCTTGCAAACAAATCAACGCCATATTCACACCACATCGTCACGACAACCAGCTTGTGCACAATGGACATTGTGTGACGGCTGTGTTACTTTGGGTATTGTTATCCATTCTTGAAGCTGACAAAACAGAGAGCTTGTGGGGTTGAGGTTGATAGAGGGAGGGAGAGAGAGAGAGAGAGAGAGAGAGAGAGAAACTGTTTCCCCGGGAAAATGTGTGTAACGTCACAATCTAATCGAATTACTCTCACAGCAATACATTCTGTGTATAGTACCTCGCAAAACGCGCCCAAACGCTCCCCATTTACTACATACTTCGAGAGGAGAGCAAACGAACGAAGCGAAAATCAGTGGAAAACATTTTTCGACACAATAACATGCGTTTATTTATATATATATGTGGCACTGCGATACAGTCCCAGTGATAAAACGGATTCGTCTTTCATGAGTGTCCATGCGTATTTTGCAGGATAGCTAGAGCAAGCGTGCAAGCTTATGCATGCGAGAGAGAAAAGATTCGGTGTATCAACGAATCAAAAGCGACAATTATTATGCTCCAAACAATAAAAACAAACACTGAATTTGTCATTTTCAGGCCATATACACAAAATATATTTGGAGATGTTCCGTTGAATTACTTTGAACCGTAGAGCGAACGCTTTTCACTTCATGCGGTCCCATTACATGAACTATAACAACACATCCTAATTTCCAGAAGCTTCGTTTTACATCCCACTTCAGATTTACTTCAATTAATATAAACAATTATTTTCCTAATGCTTACCTTGCCGTAAATAACGTCGATTACAAAAATGAAGTTTTTCGTTGAAATGGAAAGCGGAAATTTTGCCGTGCTAAATTGCTCAAATGCCTGATTACACACAAAAATAAATTCTCACACTGACACACTTTAAGGGCCCGACCAATTTGTTCCGATTACTAAATTTTCTTTCTCTTCTGCACGTTGTTGTTTTTATTGTTTAGAAATTTAATTACTTTGTTGGTAAAATTTCCAAAAAAAAACACACAAATTTTCTCCTTCCACACTTTTCCCACCAACACTTTTCTACCGCAAATTTCTTCGCTAAAACACTTTACTTGTTTTTTTTTACTCAAGTTAATGGTTTTGCTTTATTTTCGTTTGTGGGCCTTTTTTTCTTGGGTGGTGTATGTGTATGTATGCAAAAATTTCATAAACACAACAGAAATTTAAAAAAAATTGTTTTCACTTGCTTCACACGCGAACGTGGTAAATATCTCTGTTTTTATACACGCTTTCGACAGAATGAATGTCGTCAAATTCTGAGCACACACACTCGGCGTTCAATCGTTGATAACAGCGAGATGAGGAGGCGAATCACATATTCCAGTGTCACTCAAAACGATTTATTTATTTCGCGCAATGGAGACGTAAACAAAACAAAAAATTTGGTATTTCTTTAACACAATAAGCACATGTGAGGAGGAACAAATCAACTGTACTCGGCAACGCTCGTACTGAGAATGAACTAAACGGAGCCGACACACCGTAAACCGCACGCTTCAAATTCGTTGGACGCTTATGCGGCAAGTAAACCTGAACAAGTATCGTCTTTTGCTTCGCGCCCTCCGTATGCCGCTTGAGTTTGTTTACGCTACACATGACGCTTCGAGCTTGCAGCTGACAGAGAAGTTTGGGCTTGCATTTGAAACCGCTTCGAAGCTGATATTTAAAAAAATTCAGTTGCTGCTTTTCTTCTATTTCAAATTGTGCTTAATGTGTCATGAAATCAAAAGAAAACCGCCGTTTTGTCTCCGTTTTCAATCATCCAGTCCAACACACAGAATCGCAATACCCAGACACTTCGATACGCACATATGAAAATGGAAAGTTTTTATTGAACACAAAAAAAATTTATTCTTTTTTTATGTGTCATTTCATATCTAATTCAACTTATATCATTTCGAATCCGTACAAAAACGATGCAAAGATAATTTTATAATTACTCCGACGGAGTAAATGATTGCATGCACATTTTTCATCTGTACTTCACCAAAACAAATTGGATATATGAAAACGAAGAAGGATAAAAAAAAACCAAACTCATGCAGAAATGAGATGAAACTTCAACAGAAACATGTTATTTTCGCCGCAAGCATATGTTATGAACCGTGCGCACATATGTGCAATGTAATGTGGCAACGGAAAGGAAAAACGGTGATATGTTCGACCGATTTTTTTGGTTAAACATTTAACGAATTTTATGATTGTCGTTTTCGTCGTCGAAGAGTTCAACGTTTATCGAGTGTCATCGTACCTCCTCCTCTCGCATTTACAAAATCATGAATTTGCTGCTTGTGGTCAACGAACACATTGAATACATTACAAACCGAAAACGTTGATTTACCGAACACACGAGACACACCTGTCATATAATTAATTTGAACCGAGTGTGCAGTTTTTCTTTTTCAATCTCAACGAAATGTTCAGCGATTTCTCGATGCCAAAAAGTTTTGCTTTACGTTTAAATGGTTTTGCCGTAATTTGCGCTCCGTCACACTGGGTACGGAATTAGCGCTCGCATACAATTTTTTTGGTGAAAGAATGATAACGAGAGACTACGAAACTGATAACCTAATGGCAAAGACATTTGTTATCTTAGTTATGTCACTTAATCACTACCTAGAAGGAAAAAAAATTCCCCAAAATTATTTCCAGCCATAATTTGTCGTCGAGACGGAAGACGATTATTTTCCCAAAACGAAGTGTTCGTAGGTCGTTTTTCAGCGTGTCGCATTCACTTCCGTAATATTTACGGTGTCATAAAATAGTTCTCAGGCCAAACCTAGACCCCAACAACACAGTTTATGATCTTCAAAACAAGAATATCATACACTTTTTTTTGTGCGTCGTTGCTAAAGTACTGTTCAGGCGAGACGACTGTACTGCTTTTTTCCATCAATGAATAATGATGCAATATTGCTTAAAACAAAAGAAACCGTTTTGTATAGAGGCTCGTTTCGCTTCTCTCTCTCTCTCTCGCACACACAGTCTGAACACATTAAAACAATAAAGTGTGTTTGTTGATGATGAGGAAAAACACATCTTGTCACTGTCATCATTTTCGTGTGCAAAGTCAAGCCGAGCAACAATTACAAAATATGCACATCGACCGACAGATTTAATCATCGGCTCTCAGTTTTGAATTGACTATTCATGTGTCACGTTTCATCATCTTCATTGCAAAGCGAGAGAGAGAGAGAGAGAGAGAACTCGCTGGCTTAAAATAATGGTGTGCACATTAGACACTGTGTACACTGCACATTAAAATTTGCTATGAATTTTTTTTTTCTTCTTAAATTGAAGATGAAAAATCGGTCTGAAAATTGTGTATGTGGCAATTGGGTGAGTGAAGCTTAAGCAAAAAGTTTCTAAACTAATGTGCTGAAAAGTAGATGTATGGCGTTTGTTTATAATGTAATCTATCAAAATTCATTATATTGGCAGGTCATGACAACGGCATGTATAATAATTAAGGTCAACGTAAGAAGAAGGGCCACAATCCACCTTGTGCACAACAGTCCACCATTCACCTTTTATCATCGTTCACAAGAATGGACGAAAAAAAAAAACAAACCAACGGAGCTCCTAACAATTCCATCTTAACAAACAATTCACTGTTCCCATGCAAACAACGACGACGACGAGGAAGGAATATTTGTTTTAATTAGAGTTTTTATCACATGGCCTTCGCCGTCAGATGATCCCCGGCGCGATCGTTTTTCATAAAGACAACAACAAACAAACGAAAAAAAATTCGCATCCGAAATGAATTCATAATGTGTTATTTTGACATGTACCAGATCGACACCATGGATCGGAACTTTTGTTCGACGAAAGAATGTTGCATAATTATCAAGACCAGATAAATCTCTGAAATATTTGAAACGGTTGGCTCAAACACACGTATTATTTTTCTACTGCAAACAGATAATAAATAATATTTTGTGCGGTGCGGTGCGGTGTTCATATGTGAAATGAGGAAAACAATAGCGATAGATACAAAGCATGGGAACACAACAAGCGTTTGTAGATATATTTTTTGTTCATTGTGGCTGATGACGACTTGCAATAATATATCAGCTCACTTACACACGATGTATATGCCAAAGTGTGCAAACGCTAAACAAATAGCGGAATGACTCTGTGAGAATTTGTTGTAGATGAATATAACACACATACTTAAACGCAGGAAAATCGTATAAATAATACCTTTAGGTACACGCTCGCATTGAATTGCATACAATTTGCTCTCTCTCAGTCGCTTGATGTGCACAGCATCATCTGCGAAATAAATGAAGGAAAAAATATGGATATCTGCATATATATATATGTGATATACAATAATATGTAGAAACAATGGGTTTTATAAAAAAAAATTTTTGTGGTGCAGAGGCAGATACATATATATATATATATATATGTGATTACGTCACGACAGAGAAAAATAAAACAGAAGTTGCACATTGCAATTGACTCTGACTTCGGCTTGGATAACGATATTTCAGTCGAACGTTTTGTCAACAACACACAGGGCATGTGGCATCGTTCATCCACTTTATTGCTAAGTTTCATCCATAAAAATATGAAGATAAAAAACGATACTCTCTTTTAATTGAACAAACAATAACACTTTTTGTTTATATCGAGTTAATTTTACACTTTTCTCAACACCACTGCTCGCAATTTACAACACTGTTCGCACACACTTTGTGCTCAACCAACTCGAGTCAATCGTAATTTGTTCCATACGATTTATTCCGCCAAAACATTTATAGTATGAGACACTCATACTATGGGTCTTATGTTCATTTCAACTGATTATGTTCATACACGATTGTGTTTTTTTCTTTCTTCGAAGCATATCATTCGTACACCAAGTCATTGTTTTGGTCAAAGAAATTGAAATTTGAAGCATGATGTTGATTATTTGTTTTTTTTTTATGCCATGTCCATTTTCATGGGCTTGATCCGTATTAGCTCGTTACAAACACACACATACGATTATTTCAAAGGCATAAGACAAACGGGCTGTTTGAAATAGCACAAGCCGTCACATCGCATCGCATCAGCATCATGTGCGAGACGAAATCTGTTCAATAAGATTAAAATGTTGTTTTTTATATTCATTCTCCGGGTGTGTGTTTTTTCTCTCTTTCTTCTGGTTTTTATAAACAAGTGTTCTTTGCTTTTCCATTTGAATCTGGTTGGCCATTGTGTGCGCTGTGAGTGTTGAAAAAGAGTTAATGGTTTTTTATTTTGTTTCTGTTTATGTTTCTGGCTGCTTTTGTCCAGCTGAGAGAGATGATCACACAAAATAAAGCAACAACACGGACTTGTGATCAAGATTTGCTGAAAATTCGATATTATGTACAAATAATAATTGTTTGCGTCATTCTCAGATTTGCTTCACACGCACACAAAAATAACAAGTATTTCTCAATAATTGAGCGCGTAAAGGTGCTTAGCCTGCGGGTTGACTACTTTTTACTTGTGTTCAATTAATGCTTTTACAAATCTATTTCGTGCAATCTGAAAAAAAAAGAATTATCTGACCTATGGTTCATCGTGTGATTTTTTGAAGATTGGATTTCGTTTTTCTTAGTGGAAGCGGACACGCCCTTAAATGTTGAGGCTTGAAGTTCATACAAATTTGCCTGAAACCAAACGTGTCATCATCATTATTTTGACCATAGACGTCATTGATACAAACATTTGGTGGCATGTATGAAACATTTACCGACGTCAATTCATTAAAAGTCCTGCCTCGGATTTTGTTTACACATTTTGCACACTAAACTCTCGAATTAAAGACGCTATTATTTTGTAGTTATTAAATTTTATTCGCTGCATGCAAATCCGGTGTCACCTTTGGATTACCTTGAGAAAAATTTGTCGTGCATTCAAGCCATTAATTAAATGTAACAATTTGCCTTTGTGACCATCCCCAGGTACGAATTTTTTTTTCACATTCTTTTATCGAAGCGTATATCAGGTAAATTTTTTCTAACGATTAATGCTTGATAGTCCTAATCGTACACAGAGAGTGTTCAAATTTGAACGTCAGAGCTGGAGAGAATGAGAATAGACGCCGCTTGATACATGCAAAAATGGATAACATTCACGTGAGCCATAAAGATATGAGGAACGTATACACTGTCATTAATAATAATCGTACGTAAAAGTGATTAAAATTCAAGATTTGAAAGATTTCGGTGTGTCACGTTCCGTTTCACGGTCACGGTATATATATATATATATATATGTGTGTGTGTGTGTGTGTGTGTGTGACGTAAGTTCGCACAGAGCTGAATTTTGAATGCAAGGTGTTAATTTGCATTGAATGACTTTTGAACGGCATGTGCAATCTCGGATTCTTTATTTTTCAAGCCATTTGTTGTTCCAAGACAGATTGCCTATCTGTTTTCATTGAACATTCCGATTTTTTTTCGCAATAAACTCAGCGGTGCATGTGTCAAGTGGTATTTTTCCAATCGAAACCATGTATGTGATTATATTCAATTTATACTTGTTTTTATAAGTTTAATAAATTGCTTGACATTTCAGTCATTTTGCCAGATAAGCGATCATTTTCTCTTATCGCTTTACCTACTGACCCCTTCATCACTGACATATATAAGCCGCAAACACCGAAAACAAACCAGAACAAAGAAAGCCAAAGCTATACATAAAATTGCATCAAGGTGCTGCTCAATTTATTGTAATCGCAATGCTTTTCTTCGTTTCGCTGCAATGACCGGTTCAACAACACGCTTTTTCATGGATTTATGAAAGATCAAAAGCCAGACGTAAGTGAATACACGAAACAATGCACGGCACTGATGGCCAAAGAAAATACGCAATTATACTTTTTGATTTCGTTTTTGTTTTGTTTCCTCAATAATGTTCGTGAAATATCGTGCAAAATAAATTGAAGCCGCGAGCCTGTTTTCGTTTGCGCCAGAGAAAATAACACGTTTTATTGGTTTATCATCGGTCGGTTGCTTCCAAACCTGACTTCCATTATTCTTCTTTCTTTGTCGTTTCCACGTGCATACACCACACACGTCCGCTCATTATACTGAATGTGTTAGTTAGTTCAAGTTCAAAGATCGCTAAATGCACCGAAATTTGCTATTGATTCAGCGCCATCTAGTAACGCCTAGATTAACATCGTAAGGCTGGAAACTTGATGAAGCTCAGCTGTTTCTCAATTGCGATATGATTTTCTCACACAGAATATTTGTGCGTTTCGCTTTGATAAAATGTTTTATGGAAAATTCATCTTGTTCATTTGAAGAAGAAAATGATGAAAAATTCTATCTAATTTTTAGCAAAATATTACATCAATAAGAAATTGATGGTCTTTTCCTCATTTGTCATTTAACAAGTTTATTTTTCATTATTATTTCGTAACGATCAAAATTTGTACAAATACCATCTATGCTGCTTGTGAAATATAACCTACAAGATACCGTATTTTATTTATATGTTTGATATATTGATCGGAGAATACATTGCTAAAAGGATCGTTACATTTACAACGTGCTCTAAGCTTGGTGCATTTAGTTGCTTGTTATGTGAATTGTTATTATCAGTGAGGTCAGATGCAGCGGATTGGATGGCCATTTTTCTCGTTTAGTCAAATAATTAACACAAAGTTTTCTGTGGCTATTGGCCAGATTTTTATTAACTAACTATGTATAACTGTAGGTCAATTGTATCCACTTTATCTCTATATTCCATGTGATATCGTCCATAATTTACATAGAATATTCAAAACTCTATTAACTTCCACTGATTAATTACAGACATTCCGTTTGATCGATTGAGAGTGGCGTTTTAATTGCAACAATACTCCTGGTTCCCATATAGACCGTTGCAATGTGCCCGTTTGCTGACACTGTATCCTAGTCCAAAAATGTCGCACCTTCTTCACACGAAACTTTTTTTTTCTCGATTATTATGTAATAAGACTATCTTCTAAGATTAGCGATTTTTTATTTAATTTGTTTGAAGGCATTTCGTATAGGGAGTAATATCATATTACATACTATTACAGAAATGTATTTTAACGGAAATTTCAAATTGAAATGTATTTCTGCAGCGATAGCACCATCTAGTAGTAGATGTTTATTAGGATTATTGGAGTATTTGATTACAAGAATTTTGTTCTATTTCGAAAGAAAATATTAATAATATCAAACATTCTATGAAGATTGAAAATTGAACTGGAATCGAAGCATTGAATTTCATTAAAATGGCCTAATTTCGCCGAATTATACAAAAAATTAAGCTTAAAGTATGTTAAGTATATAAATTGTACTAAAGTGCTTGAACGAAAACAATGTTCTGCGAATTGGTATGCCAATTGATACGTAAAATGATGAAATTGAACACTTTGGCCAAAAAATGTTTGAAGAAATTCCATTAAAATGTTCGAAAACTATCGTCTAAAATTGGCATTTATCGCTTTTTATCAAGTAAAAAAAAGAAAAAACCTACCTCAAAAGCAATTATTACACTCAAAAACCAGTTTTATTCATTGCAACAATCTTTTAAAATGTTTTAAAAAACCATAAAATACTTTGCCCTTGTTTAAAGTAACTTTTTTGAGGTTATGTGCTATTATGCATCTAAAATCATCATTTCCAATTTTTTGGAAGAATCCATGAAAATTACCAGGAAAAAAATATTTCCATTTTTTCTCATATTGATTTGCAATAATTTACTGTTAACACGCAATTTCTCAAAACAAAATGCTTAAAATATTTCCTTAAGTCTTCCTACTACTTTGAAAAGTACAAAGTACGCGATTGCAGAGACGCCAATAGTGTAATTTAGCAAATGCTTTTGTAACGAACATCAAAGAGATATGCGCCCAATTTGTTTTGTTCGTAAGCGACATACAGCGCCACCGCAGTTTCTCAGTCCACCGCCTCTCGGTATTCATTGGAATTTTTCTCTCTCACACTGAGAGCGCGTTTGCTGAGAAGCGGAGAGCAAGTAATAATACATTCACTGCATTCAAAGAGAAGAGTCATAATCGTCCATTTTGCCACGATCTTTCGCATAGTCAATACTACAGATTCTAAGCCGTGTTTTTAATTTTTAATAAATTCAAATCGTTTGCAATAATTACGGTAACAAAAGTGCACATAAAAATTAATAAGTGGATACAACAAAGTTGGTTGATATGCCGAAAAAGTGATTTTAGAAAGTTTGGTGTTAGTGTTCGGTGTGACAAGAGCACGAATAATATTTCAATTCAAGCTTGAAAAAACATTTCTAAAGTGGTGAAATATTATTAAAAATGGATGACATCAAAGATTATGACGATGAAGGTGAGAAATATCGACAAAATACTTTCATTGGCTTGTTCATAAACGATTTGTTGTAGTCTTTTTTTTCGCATTCAGTCTTCTTGACATACTCATTAAGCAAGACATAGTTTGTACGGCGACGGTTGTATATAATTGACAGATGTATGCGTGTATTCGAGTGTGTATCGGTATAGTCTTTTTCGTGCGTGAGCGCTGCTTGTACGACTTTTGCTTTTTTCTTTCGTTTTTAGCGCGAAACTGTCAATCGTAAGCGTAATGCTTTCGTTCGTGTTGATTATTGAAATGAAAATCATTTATTCTTTCGAAATGTAAACAAATCAAAGTGCATGAACGCAAGACGTTGTTCTACCGATTTCTATTATTAGTTCATATGCGATGCTTGAAATTATGTCTAAATTGTTTGTCCATGGGTAAAATGCAATTTCATTGAATAATGTTCGTTCTTCCTGAAAGGTTTCGAGCTGGAATTCCACGATGAAACAACACCAGAGGAACGGAAATACTTTGTACAAAACTACACCAATGTTAATATGGTGGCTGATCGTAGAGTGCATTGCACATGTTGTGACACTCACATTGGAACGGCTCCATCGGCCGAAAAAATCATCCGAATGCATCCCGTTTTGCGGGTGACACAATGCGTAAAATGCTTTCGATTCTACAATAGCGGCGAATTTGAAAAAGGCGAAGATGGAAGTGAACTGTATTGCCGTTGGTGTGGCCAAGGTATGCTCAAGTGGTTGAAATGGTTTTTTTCTTCATTTTTTCCCTCCATAATTGTTTCCTTCAAAATTGTTTTGTTATTTTTCGCAGGTGGCGATGTCTACTGCTGTTCGGATTGCCCGTATGTGTTCTGCAAAAAGTGCATCCTTCGAAATTTGACTAAAGTCGCCCTGAACGATGTCACTTCCAATGACAACTGGAAATGTTTCTCATGCGCACCGAAGATTTTGCATCATTTACGAGCTCAGCATTGGGCATTGGTCAATTTCATTGCCAAACAAAAGAAGTAAGTGAATCCAAACCAAATGAAATCCAAAAACAAAGATGTTTGAAATTAAAAATTTCATTTTTGATCGTGCTTAGGAAAATCGACGGCATGTCAAGTAAGCTTGATCAAGATGAAATCACTGATGCCATGAACCAAGACGTATCTCAATGCTGCGGAAATAAGAAGAAATCAAGTGACAACAAGAGAAGAAGAGCGGTCACTGCTGATGATTCAGATGATCCTGATGACACAAGTTGGTTGACGAAGAATAAGAAGAAGAAAAAGAAAACCTCTTCAATCATTGACGAGAATTCGAACTCGGGCACTGAATCAGTCGACTCGGAACGGTCAGCAAAACGAGCAAAAAAAACGAATAAAAGTTTGTCTGAATCTGTGACAGATTCACCGGCACCCTCAGCACCGAAAAAGGTGAGCTCACCGCAGCAAGTGAAGAACTTACCGCAGCAAGTGAAGAACTCACCGCAGCAAGTGAAGAACTCACCGCAGCAAGTAAAGAACTCACCGCAGCAAGTAAAGAAAACACCGGTAGAGAAACCGTCTACACAACCTCGTAAGTTGCCGCAACCGGTCAAGGTGCCATTACCAAACATTGTAATTCCACCACCAAAACCGACAACTACCGAAGCAGCCGAAATCGATTGTACACCGGATTTATTTGCATTCCTTCTAAATAATTCGTACGAAGAGACGCACGGTGGGAGCGAACAATCGAATGAAAATTCGGTGTCATCGTCGACTGGTGTCACATCAACCGCACAAGTGCCGTCAACATCTCAAAGTCAGTCGCAGCCATTGAATAATTCCAATTCAATGCGAATCGAAAATGTGGTCAGTGGACAAGCGGCCAGTACGGAATTCGCGCAATCGAATCAACGCGAACAGTTTGTACGACGTGTTGCTCGATCTCAAGCAAATCAAACGGCTTCACAACCCGTCTACCACAATTACAATGGCTATCGTATCGATTTGAATAGCGCATCGCAACAGAGTACAATTCGTTTGCCGAGCGGAAAAGTTATTCATGTAAGTCTATCAAAATGTATTTTTGTTCAATATCTCTTTTTTTCATTCGAGATAATGATGATAAATTCCATACACACAGGTGAAGAAACAATCGCCGATAAATCGAAATGAATCCGCACGTTATTCCATAACACCGCAACCATCTCAACCGGGCGCTCCTGTAACTACTCGCACCGTTGTGGCACAACCTACGCCGCAGCCACCACAGCCACCGCCGCCGCGACATCAGCCACCACGACCTCAATCGATTAACCGAACAATTTGTGGACCAGCACCACAGCCGCGTTTACACCCAATCCAACGTGTTCCAACATCAGCAGCCACAGCACCGATGGGCCCGCGTTCGCGACTAGCAAACCAATCTGTACCACCACGTACAAACCAATCGTTAGGACAACCTGTACCGCAGCATCTTCAGGCGGTTCGTTCACAAGCACCATCGCCATTGATCATAAATTCCGTGAGCTCGGGTGTACCGATGCCATACAGCCAAGGTATGCCACCGCAAAGAGCAAGAGGACCGAGAACGCCAATGATTCCAACACCAGCCAATCATATGCCGTTACAACAAGCTCAAATGCAGTTCCAACAGTTTTTGCAAGGGCAACAAATGACAAACGCTCCACCGGCACAAAATCCAAATGTTACCGCTGGCCCAAATATGCCGAACGCATTGCAGCCACGCATTTACTCAAATGATCCGGTTGGCCGGGCTCGCACACAATTGGAACGGCAAATTTTCAATGCAATTTCGATTTGTCATCAAATCGACGGGAAATTGAAAACACTCATGAACTCAAACGCTTACAAAGGCGTGGAGAAAATGCACGATATCAAAGAGCTATACATTCATCTTTCGTACTTGTTTACGTACACAAATGGGCGTTTCCAGTCGGTGCACGACAAATGCATGGAAGATATGCGACGTCTTGGCTTCAAAACCGATGCAAAAAATCTGAAAGATGGAAATGTGATCGATAAATATGGCAGCGATGTGGATGAAGATGATTTGGAAATCGTTGAGCCAAATCATCAAACCATCAATTTGGACTCGGACGATGAACGAACACCCGAAAAAAGTAAATCGAAAAGCAATACAAACACGCCACGGCCGCGCATCGCTATGCCCGAAATTACACAGTCAAACCACAATGAAACGCATGAAGAGGTTGATCCCGGTGTTATGCTGGACATTACGTCGTCAACTGAAAATTTGGAATGTGACGTGGATGTATCAGCACTATTGCAAGTCAGTATGAATGTGGACGAAGAGGATAACGGCGATTTATTGATGTCACGCATGAATGAAGGTGCCGGTGGAATTGCAACACCACCAGACACTGAACAACCGGAAAGCATCAATATTGAAAACGACTTGAAGTTGAAGAGTAAGGCGACTATCAGTTTGAAACCAGTGGAACAGGTTTATCCGGATTTGATGGAAAAAGCACTCCAGAATATGAAAGCAAGCCAAGAAGTGAATGAGCAAGATACTGAAAATAAAGAAGAAGAAGTGGAGCAACCACCTAAAATAGACTCTCCAGATCAATCGCAAGATGAAGGTGAGGCAGAAGGCAATGTCAATGAAAAGGAGAATGAAAATGAAAAGGAGAATGAAAATGTATGCTCAGATGGTACAAAGGAAAAGAAAAATGATGAGCCGGCAAACGATAGCGTCGAATTAGTGCACGATGTCGATGAGCAAAAAGAAGATGAGCCACAGGAAGAGACACAGTGCGAAAATGAACCAATTGAAGTACCGGACGATGGGAATGTCGAAAACGATGTTGAAAGCGTAAACAATGGAGCCGAAACTGTCGAAAACGAAGTCGAAAGCTTGAACAATGATGTCGAAAATGTGGAAAATGACGTCGAAAATGTTGTTGATGAAGTGATTAATCTAGAAAATAAAGCCGAACACGAGGAAATCGTTCAGCTTCACGACATCATTGAAGCTGAAAACGTTGAAAATGAGGTGGAAGTACCCGAAAATCCACAAGTCGAAGCCGAAGCCACAACGTCGCAACAAAATGCTGATTCCAATGAAAACGAGGCTAAATCCGTTGACAACGGTTCCGATAACGATGAAAAGGACTTATCGAACGAAGAAAGTCATGCGGAAATAACATCCACATCAAGCGTCATTGAAAATGACATTGAAATGGCCGAAGAATTGGTTGCTGAAGAAATGACCGATGACCATGATGGTGGTAAAAGTGATGCTGAAATAGACCACACCAATGATTCAAATGAAATCAGCATGCTGGATACGGTTGATGATGCGGTCATCGAAATTGATACCACACAAGAAAATGATCAAATGGTCGAGGACTCGGTCATTGAAATCGAAACAACTCAAGAGCCGAACGAAACGGAATCCATTTTTTCTGACTTGAGTGATTGCAACCAGTTGAACGAGATCACAAACGAGATAAGCAATGAAATCAACGAAATCAGCACGGAAATTGAAGCGACAATTGCAAACGCAATTGAATCACAAGCGGTGGCAGCAATTTTGGCAAATGATGATTTTGAAAATATCTCATCGCCCGATACTTTTAATTGAAAGCACATGCATGGTTAGACATAAATATATTAACCCATTTGATAGAATCAAAACATTATTCATTTTTATATCGCTATAAAGCGATTCATGTTTTGTCAATTCTTCTTTTTTTTCAAGAAAAATCATTAAAGTAATAAATGGTAACAAAAAAAACGAACATTTTGGACTTTTGAATTTGGAAATATGACATTGTTTTGACAGAATGCTTAGGATCTCTCTCTTTTCGGCAAAGAGCTTTAGAACATCAAAACTATCAAATGAAATTTCAAAACTTCGTAATTGAGGGTTCAAAAGTAGAATATTAGAAATTGCTTGTTTCTCCCGTTCTGCAGTTTTTGCATTGAGTGGACGAAAACATGAATTATCTAAGCTTGGAATGTGCAATGCACACTGTGCATTGGCCTAATAGATAACAAGAACATGAACAAATTAAGCGACGTAAATTTGGAAAAAATGTTGTTATGTTGAAATTTTCTGACGGACTAACTTGATGGTTAGAAACGGACTCAATTTTGGGAAAAGGTTTGTTGAATTCGTGAAGTCCTTGTGTTGTATTCATTTCAATGTGCATCAAGTTCTCAACACAATATTCATTTATATAGCTCGTAATATGATTTTTTTTTTGTTATAGCTCGTATGTAAATTTATATTGACCAAGATATGGCCAAAGCAGCGTAACATTTGTAAGGCCATTTTGAAATCTTCGATGATTATCATATTTTCCATATTGATGATTCCGTGTCGATGAAATACATCAGGAATACTCCCAAAATAATGTTAGTTCGATTGTTCTCGTTGTATTTCGTCGTGCATAAGGTAATGTGTTGCAAGTTGTAGATATTTGTTTGCATTGGCAATATTGAGAAGGTCTTCCAAATCTAAATACATGAAGATTTTCTCCAAACAGAATTGATTCACGTACATGAAAGTGCCCCATAATCATGGGACACTTTTATGTGCACTTTTTTCTTGAGTCTTTTTCATTGCTATACGAGGCATTTCGGAACGAACTTTTTTTTCGCAGCTCACGAATGTTCTCATGCGTTCATTTCTAAAATATTGTTTTTTCTTCAAAATCTGTTTTCAAACATTTTCAAATAATTTTTCATGTTTATTTGGTAAGATTTTACCAATCTCGGGGCAAATAAAGTTGCAACGGCTCTCCAGAATAAAACAAAAAATGTTGTGTGAAAATAATTGGATTTTATCAAAAGATTGAAGAAAAATAAAGAAAAAAAAGAAAAAACGACAACGAGTGGTATTTTTTTCGTTCATTGCAAGTGAATATGGTTCGATAAACAAACGACTTACGCAAATTGCATCAATACTACTACAATAATATTTCTGTGAGTGTACTAACGAGTCATTAAGTAATTACTAACGAGTCGAAAACGGAAAGAGAAAGTGTGTGCGTTAATATTCATAATTTGAATAAAAGCAAAATACGCATTGGCTAATTCATCCAAGTTTTTACATTTGAAACAAATTACAACCATTAAAAACACATAATTTATTACTGGATTTGGATAATAAACAAAAAAGTTCATTTTTCGCAATTTTCAAATATTTCGTTCCAAATTGATGATATTTCCAGCCAATATCCTACAAATTTTTGAATGGCGGAGGCAGTGATTAAAATAAGAATTTTTCAGAACTACCGGATTTTTTTTATTTTGCAATTATATTGACATTAAAATTGAAAAATACATCAATTTTTTTGCTTCTTTCGTCTTTTCGGTTTCACTTTGTGCTCGTCTTGCTTTTTCATTCAGAAAGTAAACTATTGCTCGCCGCGGGTTTCACTGCTCAAGCGTTAACGCCAATTGACATGTTGTAATAAATATATAAACATTTATTCTCGATTTCAATTGATAATCGATTACGCTTATGAGTTATCATTTTATTATCTGAGCTGATACCCTTTTCTACATCAGATGAGTCAGGCGTATAAATTTGAATGCGACAAAGAATGAGTAATAAATTTTCAAAATTCGACGCAGTTTCCACGTTTTGTTTTAGCTTCTTAATATTGGTATAAGGACTTGACTACAAATTAAGTTGAGATTTCAATTGCACAAACTCTTGGTATTGCAAATATATTGATGATAATTCCAAATCCTTCCAGCCGTTTTTTTCAAATCGGCATCGCTTCGGAAATTGAAAATCATTCAATTATCGACTACCGGAATTTGAATTTAGTGCTGCATTTTACATTTTAGAACTACCAGTTTCCGGTAGAACTACCGGCTATTTTAATCACTGGGCGGAGGATTAGAAACTAGTTGATAAATATCATCTGTGTTTGGAACTTTTTGAATGCATAAATTAAAACCCATGTTCAAATCCAGATGCAATCCATCCATTTATTTGTTGTAGACGCGTGAAAAATGCATTGTCACAAATGCAATCACTGATTGTATATTTAGAGTTATTTGACACCCTAAAATTTGTTTCTCCTGCTTTAATAAAGATATCTCAAACGTCGTGATTAGCACAACACTCGTTAATTCTTGGGAAAAATACAAAACGCTTCGGGTAGGAGAATTCACCAGGTCCACAAGATTTGGTAACTAGCATATGAATAGAATTAAAATACAAAAATTAACAAACATTATATAATAATAACGGAAACTAGAAGAAACTTACATGGAGGAAATCCAACCACTTCATCATTTTCGCCAAATACACCTGCTATAAACATACAAAATAGAACGAAAATCAATTTTTTTGAAGACATTGCTTCTATTTCAATATGTGAATGACCAAACGTATCCTCATTAACTATTTTCATCACGAATGACATTTTGACTGATTGTATCCCCATTATATAGCGAGCGTATTTACGAACACACGCGCCAGTTCTGTGTGAACTTTATTCATTATCAGATTATTTTCTTGCAACGTCAAATAGAATAAAATTAAATGCGACGAAGTGCATTATTGAATTAGTGCCTAGCTGTTTGTTTCAGTTTGTTCATATGAAATTACTAACGTTGCAATAGTTAACTATCTACTATGCTAATATGAGATAAGCTAATTAGTTTGAACCAAGAGTATAAATAAGGTCGAATTTTTTGTTCAACGAATCATTTGTTGTGAGCGATTTGTTGTGAGTTATGAGCACGATGTTTAGCAATTCAATTGTGATATTATTTATTGCTTCGCAGATTAATAATATTAATGGCGAATGCTGTTGTAAGAAGAGGTTTTTCATTTGATTATTATTTTATTTACATCCAGGCGATATTTTTTTTTTAATTTTCTCGATTCAATTAATCATTTTTGTATATTTTGATTTCAACAGACACTAGAAACCACGACCACGTATCTTTAGAAAGGTACAGGTCACCACAAATATATAGCTTTCCATGGACTGCGAATATCTACCAATTCAATGCCTACAGAGCATCTGGCATAATAATTTCAAACAGGCATATATTAACGACTGCGAGTAACATTCTTCCATATAAAGGAGTTCCACTGGAAACCAAAGACATCGGAGATTCTCTCGAAAAGCATTTCTGGTAAACAATTTTTTTATCCTCAAAGATTGGTAAAATTGAACACATTCATGAGAAAAAAGATTAATATTTTTGAGATTTTTCCAATCGAAGCAGATCAATCAGTTTGTTATTTAATTTCGACTGGAAATTTCTCAAAAATATTGATTTATCTAAATATTATCTCAAAACAACATATTGATTTACTCACGTTGTTTTCCTTTTTGCAGGATAAAATATACAGAAATAGTTTTAAAACCCAGCAATCGAAAGCAACTTGAATATGTGTACATACACCCAAATTATAACCATATAACATACGACAATAACATTGCCATCATTGAAGTAAAAGGGTTCATAACTTTCGAAGATGATATACAACCAGCAGTATTGCCGAAATCACCAGCAAATTTTCAAGGCGAAAAGCTACACATGGCTATTCCGTACGCTGCTTCTGAAGGAGGTACACAATTGCTACGATACAACGCTTCGCTTCTATCCGAAGATGATTGCGTCAGAATTAGCGGTAATACAAATAGTTCAACTAACACACTGTTATGTGTTGATAGTTTATGCTCAGATTCTCTGTGCAACAAGGTAAGTCTCTTTTTTTTATTCAAAAAAAAACAAACAAACAACTAATCTAATTACATTCACAATCCAGCTTTTCTTTAGCGATCCAATTTTCAGTATTACTGAGAACGATTCAATTGAAATAATTGGATTGCCATTGTGGCGGAAAAAAAGCATTAGTGTGTATAACGCATCCAAAATGTGTTTCGAAGATAAAAATGCAACCGTTTACATCCGAATTGTTGATTTTCTGGCATGGATCGATGAAATTTTATCCAAACGATGCGGATGTCACCTACAACAATCACTTGATTGTGGAAAACCGATGTTTTTTAGCGAAAGTTGTGAAAACAATCAGAAAATCGTAAATTCTGAGTTTTTTTCACTTCATACATTATGTCTAATATTGGCGCCATTTTTGGAGTGCGGATAGATTCTTCTTAAAAAACGCATTTTTCAGGTTCTATTCTACCGGATTTAGCATAAAAATACCCAAAATTGTAAAATAATTGTAAAATGTGTAAAAAATGACAATGTGTGTGATAAGGTGGAACAGATTTCAAAATTAAATTCAACGGAATCGAAATCTGAAGTCGTTTCTCCACAAAATTTTCGATTTTTTTCAAGTTTGCAGAAGGTTTTTTTCTTGTCATGCGAAGAAGGCAAAATTAATTATAAACACGTGACCGGTCAAAATATTGCTCCAAATCGAGCACAGACTTTTGCAGAAGTGCAAGCGATGCCAGATGTCCATTTGGTTGATAACCGCTTCATAAGCGTTTAACCACATTCGATCCTACATCGCAATCAAATCATGAATTGATTCGTTCATGAATGGAACAAAAAAATGCAAAAAAAATTGTGAATTGTTCAAGTTCAAATTAAATTTTCAATCAAATAAACAAAACAAATTCAATTCAAGATTTCATTCGAAAAAAATCAAATTGTTTTTTATTTTGTTTGATTTTGTGCATGTGACATTTTTTCAGATTTTTTTTAGCTCAGCATGCTTTGTTTTCCATTCATTTGCCAATGAAAAATATCGGCGAAAGTCGAAATGTTTTTTATTTAGTTTGATTTGTGAATATGACATTTTTTCTTCGGATTTTTTAGGCTGGCATGTTTTTTTTTCATTTATTTATCAAAAAAATTAATATCGAACTGGAAAAAGCAACGAAATTTGAGATTTTTTCAATTTTCCATACAATCAATCGATACAAATAGTCAAAACAAAAGTTTCTCATTTTTGCATTCTGATTTTTCCTCTCTCCTTAATGTAAATATGAATTGATTTCGAGAGCAAAAATGCTGTCGAAATCGCATTGTGAATACAAACACACCTTTTTCCGCATTGAATGTGAGTACAACAACATAAAGTCCGATACAATGCTTTGCCATGCATACTTTTTGTTTCTCTTATTACACATTTCCCGTACAATAAAATTACAGACTACGCTATATACTTGAACATACAATAATAAACAAATTCTTTAATTTTACTTATTCATTTATGGTTTTTTTTTCACACGCATACAAGTGTTCAAGCAATGGTTGGACGAAAAGCACATATCACCTGTTTTTACTGCCTCCTTTTTTACGCGTGGGGCAAATAACAATGCAATGTAGTGCAATGTACTTTTCGTCTAGGCTAAGTAGAGGGTGGGGCAAATAGCTTGCATGCATCGCGTGACTGATACTTGTTGCATGACTGACATTTCCTCTCTTTCCTCTCATGGTCCCCCCTCGCCCTAGGTTGGACGAAAAAGACAAAAGTATACTACTCGTGTCGATGAAATCCATCAGGAATACCCCAAAATAATGTTAGTTCGATTGTTCTAGTTGCATTTCGTCGTGCATAAGGTAAATGTGTTGCAAGTTGTAGATATTTGTTTGCATTGGCAACATTGAGAAGGTCTTCTAAATACATGAAGATTTTCTCCAAACAGAATTGATTCACTTTCGTTATTTTGGTTGGGCTGTTTGATTAGATGGTGCTCTCTACTCTTATCTGTTTACAGGTGTCATTTTGTATCGTAACGCCTTTTCGTTTTTCATTAGATGAGGATCCTTCCATTTTGTATATCACTGTAGGAAACAGAAATTGAAATGAATTCTAAAGCTTTGTACTGGCAGTTGATTCTTTATTTAAAAATCTAAAACTGAGAAATATGCTATGTGATTTCAACTAACATTATTGAAATTCCGTTTGTTTTTGAAAGTTCCAGTTTTGCCTTTATTCCACTAAATTAGTGCTTTTACTTCGTATATTTCTTCGAATGTAAGCGTTGCGGCTTCTCAATTGAATAGCGACAATATCTTTGACTCAATATTAAATATATATTTTTAATACCAAACAGATTTGGACCTTTTTTCCGCCAAAGTGGCAATGTTTTAACAAGCAGATTGGAATTGTTTTTGTTTTCATTCTCTCTTCCAGCTTTGAGTGAATCATTTGAGGTTATGTTGTTATCTCCATATATTCTCATATACACGGTTTAGTCACATCTTCTTGGAGGAAGAAATTCAAATGTCTATGATTTTGGAGACAACATTTTTTTATGGGTTCGTTTTTTGTTTTATCCGTAGAACAGTATGTTACAGCAACTGAAACTAACATTTTCATCGCAAAATTTACTCTTTTACAGAGTGACACCCATAATGAAGACAGATAGTAATGGAAACAATTATTTTTATTATATTATGCCATGTTGAGAATGAAAAGTTATTCTCAATTAGTTCAAATCTTGACAATTTATTTGTACACTGAAAGCTATGTGAGACTGTTGACAAAAGCCTAACTGTGTAAAACGAACATCTTTAATCCGAAGAGCAAGCAGGAAAAAGTACAAAGAATGCAGCTAGCAAAATTAATTGGTTTTTCTGATTTTCGAAGAATTTTTGAAGTTTTCTAATAAAGAACTAAACAAAACGATTGATTTTATATTGGGAAATGGTTTCTTGAATTCTTCAAGTGTCCGTCCCATATTCATTACAATTCTAATCAAAGACTCGGCATAATATTCGTTTATATAGTTTATAACGCGAGTAATTTCTTGACGATTGAATCCGCTGGTAGTGTACCATAATTCGATGTTAACCAACTGGAGATTTCATATAAATATGACCAAAGCAGCGTAACATTTGCAAGGTAGTTTTGAAATCTCAGAAAGATATCTTTATGATCGAACAGACTTGCATTTACAAATTTTTTCACCAAAATGATCATGTCTCAACGCGATGTTAATGATTTTTATTGGATTTTGTCGAGCGAAAGCTGAATGAGTTGCAAGTTGAAGATGTTTGTTCGCATTGAGAAGGTCCTCTAAATCTGGATACATGACGATTTTCCCCAAATAGAATTGATTCGTCTGTTCTTTTAATCGGATTGTTCGATTGAACGCTGATGCTCTTCGCTTCTCTTTGTTGACGTATGGCATTTTGTGCCATTTTGCCGTTTCGTTTATCATTGGATGAAAATCCTTCCATTGTGGATATCACTGCAGAAAAAAGTACAAACGAATTGTAAATATAAAGCTTTGTACTGAATATCGATTCTTTGATAAAAAATTCAAAACATGACAAATATTCTATGTGATTTCAACTAACATTATTAAAACCTCGTTTATTTTTATAAGTTTCACTGAGCAGTTCTGCTTTTATTCCACTAAATTTGGATTTTTACTTCGAATGTGAGCGTTGTGGCTTCTCAATTGAATAGCGACAATATAAGTATTTTTGACTCAATATTAAATATATTTTTAACCAAAACAAATTTGAACCTTTTTTTCTGCTGAGTTGACAATGTTTTGACAAGCAAATTGGAATTGTTTTTGTTTTCATTCTCTCTTCCAGTTGTCATCGAATGAAATCATTTGAGGTTATGTTGTTTTTTCCATATATTCTCATATACACTCAGGTTGTGTTACGTCTCTTGGAGAAAAAATTCAAATGTTCACGATTTTATAGACAAGAAAAATAAATTTTATTTGTTGCTTTTTTCATTTTATGTTCCGTAGCATTCAGCACAGTAAGTGTCATTTTTATTTTCATAAAAAATCTTGCATAGATTATTTCATGAAATTTTTATATTGCAAAAGAGACTTCAGACTATGATTTAGTACTAAAAAAAAACATCAATGCATGTACCAGCTACTGTCTCTTTTCCACACTTTGGATAACCGATAAATGTCAAATTGTGTGTGTCATCTCTTCTGGTAGGAATTCTGCTGCGTTTGACAGCTATACATACATCGTCGACAGCAGTAGCAGCAGTTTGTAATCGAACATCAATCATGGCGGGTGTTGTTGTTGATAAAAAATTTCCAGGTGATTTCTTAGTGCCAAAACATGAAACGGGTGTTATTCAATTCCTAAAGAAGTATCCCAACTACAATGGTGACGGTGTAACAATTGCCATTTTGGATTCGGGCGTTGATCCAAAAGCGAATGGTTTAGAGGTAAGAATCCGTGTTCAGAATCACCACTCTGTCTCTCTGTCAACTCTGTTTTTTTTTTAGAACAGGTGCTTTGATTCTTTTGTATTACCAATATTTGCACACAAAGCATATCGTTTATGCATTGTCATTGCCATACACGCGTGTTCATTCTAGGTCTTATTTATAGCGACATAATTCAATAGTGCAATATATTGCAATCTTTGTTGTATTCTTGCTTGGTTCTCGAACAATCTGCTGGCTAATTTATTTATTTCCCTAATTTTTCCACAATTTTTGTTTTTCTGTCGCTCTCGTTGAATTTAGAAAACTCCTGATGGATCGGTGAAAGTGATTGAACGCTTTGACTGTTCCGGATGCGGTGACGTTGACACTACCAAAAAGGTTTCACCAACTCCAGATGGAACAATCGTTGGTCTATCTGGACGAACAATCAAGGTATGTCTAATTTTGTTGTTGTTGAAAATAATAATCATCGAACAATTAGACGCGTTAGCCACTTGTGACAACATTTTGTTCTGTTTATTTTTCACTCGAAACCGATTCCGGTTTCAATGTCATTAAAATGATCATTTTCATAATATTTCGCATCTAAATTCATTTTTAATTGTACGATTTACAGTTATCTGATGCCATTATACGAGAGAATACGGGCTCGGAATATCGTATTGGTTTGAAAAGTTTCCACGATCTCTATCCGTCGAAAGTCAATGAAAAAATTAATACCGATGCAAAATTCAAGACATGGGATGCCAAACACAAAACAGCCGTAGCAGAAACATCCAGGCGTTTGAGCGAGTTTGATGCGGCAAATACTCCAAGTGGGTGTAAAAATCAAATGCTAAGCGATGCAAATGAATAAATGAATTTAAAATTAAAAACGATTCCATCTATTCAACAGCCCAAAACCTCTCAGCGGCTGACAAACTGGTCAAAGAAGATATTGACAGCACGCTCGAGTACCTACAAATGTTGGACAAGCAATACAATGATGTGAAAACCTTCTACGATATTCTTTTGTATCAAACGAATAACGGTTGGCGGTGTGCTATTGATGTCGCATTAGACGTAGGTTTTAGCATGGTGATTGCTTCGATTTGCGATGGAATTAATTCCGTTTTTTTCTCTTTCTCCTATTTAAATGACTAGGGCAATTTGGGAAATGCCATTTCACTAGGCGAATACAGTAAAACACATGAAATCAAAAGTATTGACGATTTTCTATCGGTTTCGATGAATGTACACGACGATGGAAACGTATTGGAAATTGTCGGAATGTGTTGTAAGTGTCACAAGTGAACGATTTTCACTGAACATTTATCCCATTTAAATTGAGTTACTCACAATTTGTCGAATGAAAAAATTTGTTTTTATTTGACAAACTTTAGCGAGCCATGGAACACATGTCGCTTCAATCGCTGCAGGTAATCACAAATCAACTGGCTTCGAAGAACTGGATGGAGTGGCTCCGGGCGCTAAAATCGTCTCACTCACAATTGGCGATGGTCGATTGGGGTCAGTGGTTTTTTATTTAAACTTTAGATTTCAAAACAATGTTTTGTATGTAACACTTTGCCCTTTTATTTAGGTCAATGGAAACGGGAACAGCAATTGTTCGTGCCTTGATGAAAATCATGGAATTATGCAATGCTGGAAGACGCGTTCATTTGATTAACATGAGCTATGGTGAATTTACACATTGGTCGAACTCTGGGTAAGTGTATTGGAATACATATTTCATGAGTGGGGCAACTAACCTTGATGTGTGGTCGACAAAAAGTCAATGTATTACTATCGAATTGTAACCTCACACAACATTCAAGATATCCATATTGTGACTTTATCAATCACTGAAACATATATGAATGAATGATTGCTACTTTATCTTTCGCAGTCGTATCGGAGAAATTATGAATGAAATCGTCAATGATTATGGTGTTGTTTGGGTTGCATCAGCCGGAAATCATGGTGCGTATTTAAAATACTTCATTCACTTTTGATTTCAATTTGAATGATATTCAATATTCAAAGACGAAATATAAAAACTTGACTAATTTCCCTATTTTAAACACCCCAAAAAAAACAGGGCCAGCTCTGTGTACCATCGGAACGCCGCCCGACATTTCTCAACCGGCTTGTATTGGTGTCGGAGCATATGTATCGCCTGAAATGATGGAAGCTGAATATTCACTCCGCGAAAAACTGCCAGGAAATGTATACACATGGACTTCAAGAGATCCTTGTATCGACGGTGGTGAAGGTGTAACAGTTTGTGCACCAGGTGCTGCCATTGCCAGCGTTCCACAGTTCACACTCAATCACCAACAGCTGATGAACGGTAATTTTTTTTTTGGCTTTAATCGATTTCTTTTTACTGAAAAGTTATTCAAATTAAACTCTGTTTGTTATTACCAGGAACGAGTATGTCAGCTCCGCATGTGTGTGGTGCCATTGCATTGTTGATCTCAGGGTTACTGAAGAATAAAATTGACTACTCGCCATATAGTATTAAGCGTGCGGTTTGGAACACTGCCACTCGACTGTCACACGTCGATAAATTTGCTCAAGGCAACGGTTTACTAAACGTTGAAGTGGCCTACGACAATTTAGTCAAATACCATGACCGCTCTGAACGAGATGTTCGGTATGGAATACAAGTACATGGATAATATTAATGCTTTAGAATAAACGAAAAATGTCTTTGAAAATTACAGATTTTCAATCGGTGTCGGTTCGCAAAACGCCAAGGGAATCCATTTGCGACGCGATGTACTGAATAAACCTGAAGAATTTAATGTTACTATTCAACCAGTTTTCCTTATGGATAAAAAATACGGTAAGAAGGCTGAAACACAGAGCAGGCCATTGACCATTCTAATTGTCTCTTTCGATTTTCAGCTTCAAAAGCAAAAATTGAATTTAATAAACGGTTGACACTCATTCCTTCCGAGTCATGGATTCAATGCGGCTCATTTTTGGATTTGTGTTATTCAGCTCGATCCATTGTTGTTAAGGTCGATCCAACTGGACTGTCGCCTGGTGTTCACACTGGCAGGTTTGTATTTGGCAATGGCGATTCCGAAGATTGAGACGTTGTCATTCCTTTCTTTATTAAATTTCAAATCCAATTTAATGATTTTGGGACATTCGATTTCGATTCGAACATAAAATGGATTCTAATTTTTTATTCATTTTTTCCACAGAATCCGTGCTTACGAGAGTGATGACGTTGACAAAGGAACCGTCTTCGAAATCCCAGTCACGGTTGTACAACCAATTGTTCTGGATCCCAAATCCAATTGGCACCACACCTTTGAAGAGGTTGTATGCAAACCAAACACCATTTTACGTCATTTCATTTTGGTACCAAACAATGCATCCTGGGCTGGTTAGTGCCATTTTCTCCTTATTCGCAAAAAAAAAAACTTTCTGTTCTAGTTTTGAATTGAATTTTAATTGCATCCACTCTCTCTCTCCCGTTTCAGTGGTACGATTACGTTCAAATGATACGGTAAAATCGACGCAAGCGAAATTTTTGGTGCATACAATGCAAATTATTCCACAAAAATTCTGCAAAACGTATGATACTCAGAAGATTCTGCCGGTTTCATCTGAAAATGACACCGTTCATCATTTCCGTGTCGAGGTATGCATTACAGAAGGAAAAATAGAAAAACGTCATTACAAAATGACTCGATTTAATGAAAAAACTGACTTTTTTCATGTTTTCCAGCAAAATAACGTCCTTGAAGTGTGCATTGCAAAGTATTGGTCAAACTTCGGTACAACAACGCTGAATGCAAGCATTGAGTTCCATGGTGTTCGCACCAATTTGCCAAGTGAGTAGAAAAATCGATCGGAAGACAATAAAAGTGAATTTAATTGACATCTTATCCTTTATAGATACGATGGTACATGGTGCAAGCGGTGTACATCGCATGGATTTAACCTCATTAGCTCGTGAAGAATTGGTGCCGTCAATTCAATTAAAAACCGCATCAATGGTATTAAAACCGACGGAAGCAAAGATTTCACCATTGACCAGTCGCGATATTCTGCCACACGGTCGACAAATCTACCAGAATTTGCTGACATACATGTTGAATTTGACTAAAACGCAAGAGGTAGCATTCTCCTTCCCACTGTTGAACAATGTACTTTACGAATCCGAATTCGAAAGTCAATTGTTCATGTGTTTCGATTCGAATCGACGTCAACTCGTCGTTGGCGATGCGTATTCTGGCAACAGTTTCTACAAACTGAACAAAGGCGAATATACGATCAAAGTTCAAGTTCGTCATGAAAAGAAGGATTTTCTGGAAAAATTGAATGAAGCCACGCTAACCGCGTCTTTCAAATTGGCATCGACATTGAGCTTGGACATCTACAGCTCATACAAGGCTGCTCTTCTTGGTGAAAAGAAAGTGTCCTCACTCACCGTGCCAGCACTTCGGCCAGTACCGTTTTGGATTGCTCCATTGAGCGCTGAAAAGTGAGTTTTGTTTTTATCGCACCCAATTTACCTCTACCATAACGCGATTAACACTTCTGTTTTGCCGCACAGATTAACAAAGGCCGGTTTTGTGAGCCAATGTGCATGGTTGCAGGGTGTGTTGTCCACCTCAAAGGATGAAACGGCTCGAAAGATCGATCAAATCACTTTCGATTACGTGTTACCCGATGGACCGGCTGTTGTAAAGAAGAATGGATCATCGAAATCGAACAACAAAGAGGGCAAAAGCAAATATGATGAATACCTCGAAGGCTTGCGTGACTTCCAAAACGGACAGATCTCCAAACTCGGTATGTACACACACATTGGATCGCACACAAAGTTAGTTCGCGTTAAAAATTAATTACATTGATTTAAAAATGCTCACAGAATTGGCCGATGCCGAAAAGGTTTATGCAAATATCATCAAAGATTTTCCAACCTACTTGACGGCCCACATTTCGTTGATTCAAAAGCTTGAACTGGCCGAAGCCAAAAACTCACTTCCGTTGAGTTTTAAGGCGTCGCTTGACAACACCAACGATTTGGACACATCACTGTCAACACTTAAACGGATCGTCACTTTGGCCGATGCTGTGATAAACGGAACGAACGCCGATGCTCTCTTAGCGTACTATGGCCTCAAGACTGACAGCCGTCAAGATGCCAACAAAATTAAAACGTGAGAGATTATATTCGACGCATTTTCATTTTGCAAATATTGTTTGTATTGTTGAATTGTGATGAAATAACAATGCGGTTTTCTTTTGTTTGACAGCGATATGGACAAGCAAAAAACCAATCTTCTCGATGCATACGTTCGTAAAGTCATCGCATTGGGCAAAATAAACTCCATTGAAGCGAAACAAATCGAAGCGGATTCAACCAAAAAAGTAACAGCTGTCGCCGATGATATCGATTCCATTTTCACTGAAGTGGGCAAATTCACCGATTACTATGATCAAAAGGTACTTATTCTCATTTGGTTTTGCAACATTGTTATGCCACCCAAGAAACGATCAATATTCATAGGGCCCTTTTTCATTTCGCCACAGATTATCATCTTGTCATTATGGCACGCTTACACCAAACAACAATACGGTCGAATGCTAAAATTGCTGCAGAAAATGAACGAAGAGAAGCCACAGCGTGACTACTTGGAGGAGATGCAACACGTTGCCCGTGCCAAAAACTGGGACCACGTCGCTGATATTTTACAAAAGGTCACCGTTTCGGCTCATCCAGCCAATTACCGATTGTTTTAAACAACATTTTCCAACAGGAACATTTTTGTTCTGAAATTTTTGAAAATTTGGAATTGTTTTCCTTTTTTTGTCACCTTTTTGCAATTGCACAATATTTGGTTTAATCCGATCTTCTTCTCTTTTTTTTCTAATTGAAAATTATTCTGTTAAAATGAAATTTTTCAATTTTTTCCTCTTATCTAAACATCTTGAATGATTTCTTTCTTTTTTCTTTCAATAAATACTGCAAAATGATATAAAATAACCGAGATATGAAAAGAATAAAGACACTTTGATTTTTTCCATACTTATTTTTGTTATAATTCGAATTTTGAACGATTATTTTTTATAGTCTTTGAAATAAAATATGCATTTTTACTGAAAAAAAAAACCAAATTGTTTTTTGCTCAAGTACAAAGAATGGTCATGGAAAGTCGTTTTCATTTATTCGAACGGAATTTTTGTTGAAATTCTAAAAAAATCCAAGAATTTACAAACAAAAGCAGTCATTCTATAAATAAACATCGGTATCAAGACAATATGCAATCATTTTCTTACATCAGCACACTTTTTCAATTCACTCAATTTCCGTCAACCACAATTCAAACCATATTTAGTCTAATTACATCATCATGGTTTCGCGGTAGATTTGCTCTTATCAAAATTCATTTTCTTTTTTTCATGAAGTGATTAGAGTGCAGTAATCATGCGGTCACAATTCAAACAATGTTTATCAGCTGATTAGATAGTTTGTTTACCGTGAACGCAACGCACACATGTACCCCACCGCTTGTATACCAATACACGTAATACATGTATACGCGACGGTGTTTTTATTGAATCGAATGTGACAGTAACGATGACACATGACAGCGACTACGTTTAGTAAACCTGTAGCGGTTCAATAGAACGTCAATACTTTGCTTGATTCAGACGAACTTTTTCGTTGTTTTCAAATACTTCAGTTGATTTTCCCGTGAAAATGTCGCTACGTTTTGGTGCAAATTTGAATTTCCTCTTTCGTGAAAGTGGTGCCAATGTGTTGGAACAATTCCGTTTGGCCAGAGCATCTGGTTTTCGTGGCATTGAAATGGTTTGCCCCGAACAAATCAGCAAAGAAGATGTAGTTTCTGCACAGAAAGAAAATGAAATTGAAGTGGTTCTTCTCAATGTCAGCCTAGGTGAGGCAATTAAAAGATAACATTTTTATTTCAAGCAAATAAAATTCCGAGAAAAGTCTAGAATTTATATATCGATTTCGTTCAAGTTTTTTGGAATTTTTTCCAAACTTCTTGTGTGTTCTGTTTATGAATGAAGATGCTGCTTCAATGATCAATAAAATATCGTCAATTGAATTGATTTTTTCATAGCACGAAATCATTGTATTTAATTTGTATCAAAGCGGAAAATCGAAATGCCTGCACGTATTCGATTGACGTTAACTCAATCGGTTTGATTCGTCTCTTTTTCATTCATTCCTTTGAATACGTTAGTAATTTATTTAAAACATCTCGGAGTTTTTTCTTCTCGAATTCCACAATTCCAGTGATACAATGATGGTGGCATATTGATGTATTTGCGTTCTCCGTTTTACTTTTGATGAAGGATTACATCAATCGGAGCTATTTTTTTTCTGTTGAAAGAAAAACCGCAGATAATTGTTTGGTTAATCGTAGCGTAATTCAGTAGATTTTGTGCTGCTTTTGTGAGCGGTTTGTTCAGCATGAACTTCGATTAGTGAGCTATGAATTCAGCTAAATCGTTCAGTTTTTTTTTGTTCCATTTCCGTAACCAAAGACGAATGCTTGGAAATTATATCATTCGTTCATTTCAGGTACAAAACCCGAGGCAGCCTTTGGTTGTGCGGCATTACCGAATATGGAGAATGAATTTCGGGCCAATTTTCAACGAACTTTGGAATATGCAAAGGCTTTGAATTGCAAAAAGTTTGTTTTTTTGCTTATTAATTTTTCGATTTGTTTAAAAACTTTTTTTTTTCGTATTTTTTCTGTTTCAAATGTGTTTATTTTATTTTTCAATTTCATGTTTCTTCATCAAATGATTTCCATTCCAAATTGGAATTTCCAATAGAATCCATATCATGGCTGGTAAACCTGCCGACTTTGATGCAGCTGATGAAACTTACTTGAGGTAACAAAAAACTAATAATAAAATAAGCAAAATGTCAAAAAGTTGTAAAATGTTGCCTTTTTCGTTGGTGTAGAAATTTGCAGTTCGCAGCTGAGCAATTGGAATCGACAGGTATCATAGGTGTAATTGAGCCGATCAATAATTATAGTATTCCCGGATACTATTTGAACTGCTACGATAAAGGTGTGATCCGAAATTGTGTATGATTAAAGATTATGAACTTTACATCCATTAATTATGTTTGTTCGTCTTTTGTTGGTGTTTAATGTGCGCTAAGGCCAATTTTTTTTTCCCAAAAAAATCATCTATGAAAATAAAGGCGAAGGGAAAAAAATGCCGAAAATATGGAACAAATTGACTGTGCACAATAGACACCAAAACGAGAGAGAGAAAGAAGGAGGGCGAGCAAAAAGAATGGATGTGAAGCGTTTTTTTCTTCTTCTTTGTATTTCGTATGATCTAACCGATTCTAATTCAATTTACAGCACTTAATATTTTGAAAAAATTGAATAACACCAATAGCATCAAGTTAATGATTGATCTGTTTCACCTACAACTCATCCGAGGCAACATAACGAACACATTGAATGAATTGAAGTCACACATTGGACATGTTCAAGTAAGTGGTCGTCGTCGTCTTCGTACATATCTCTCGTTTGAATGGTGGCAACAATACAATCGATAGCTGAGAATGTGAAAAGCGATTAATTTCCGAACAATATTTAATTTTTTTCCCTCCTCTGCTCCTTCAAGTTCGCCTCTTTTTTTCCCTGTCCGTATTGAAAGTGCCAGATTTGGTGAGATGGTGGTGTTGTCAGTTTTTCATGGCGCTTTTGTTTGTTGTGTTATACGCTTGCTCTTTTTTTCTCTCCTCTCGATTATTGCTGCTTGTTTATTCTTTGGTGATGTAAAAGTGAATCTGTGCTATGTTTATTTTTATATACGTATCTACCTGTATTGGCACTTGGCAGGTTGGTCGGCATCATTTATTTGATCTAATTCTTAGAAATTTCCATTTAAGCTGATGTGCGTGTTTTTGTTTTTTTTTTCTTATGTTCTCTGTGATCAGAGCACATCAAACACCTTTTATACAGTCGAGAAATTTATTCGCTCACACTTCAAACACTTTCAAATCGATTGAGTCCAAAAAGAATGAGATGCAATCTCATAGTGCCAAAAATGCACACATAAAAACACATCAAGCAAATTTTCGTTCATCCCAATTTTTGTTTCTCTTTTTTTTCTGTTTCACGTTTGTGTTCGATACACATTTTATAGGTTGCACAGGCACCACAACGAAATGAACCGAATGCCGCAGGCGAAGTGAACTTCAAATATGTGTTTAAGGTGTTAGAAACTGTTGGCTATAATGGTTGGGTTGGGTGCGAATATAAACCAACAAACAATTCGAAAGACAATTTGGAGTGGATCAAGGAGTATGGATACACGTTCTGAAGGAGAAAACACAAATATATGCAGCCACCGGCCGAATGGTAATTATGCAGGACCAACATCCAAACATGCTGAAACACGCATTCCTGTCGGTGTTTTTTTCCAGGCCAAAATGTTCATATTTTTTGTCATGATTTTTAACGAAGATTATGAATAAATTAGTTGTTAATAAACTGACTGCTGTTTCGTCTCTCACATTTCCTACTAATGAAATAGGCGGTTCATTGAGCGGCCCTTGAGTTGAACTCAATGTATTGAGCTCCCTGATGAAAATGTTTCACTGATATCGTGAACTCAAATAAAAGTAAATTAACATGCACATTCACTTAGTTCATTTTCAATCAAAGAAACAACATTCATGTGCGAAAATAAAGCAACCAGAACAAATTGCAATGTGCGATAAAATAAATTGTTCATTTTTCCCCCGCATACAAATGCCAAGACCCCAAAACTGACTTTCTGCATCGCAAACAAATTGCCCTAGTTAGGAAAATTCGGTACTTACCCTATATATTTCATCCCACCATCATACACACACACACACATGCGGATTTTGCGGTGTAAGGATCAAAGTGAACAATGATTAGGTTACATCACCAACCATTGTGGGAATGATTCACGTTTCGACTTTATGGGGCGAAACCGAAAAAAAAGCGGAGCGCACAAATAAAAATTGCATTACTTTGATTCGCACCAAATAAATTATGATCGCACATTAACTGCAAACAGGCACTATGTCTGTTTGGTTGAACTCACCCAGAAATTTACCTTATTCAATATGCCTTCAATGCTACAGCTCCTGCTGCTGTTGCAGTAGAAGCATCGTTTGATGCCGAGCAAATGTTTGAAAACCATAAGGAAACTTTTGCCCGTGTGTAGCCGATGCACGGCAAATAAATAAGTTGTAATAAACGCATAATGTGCTGCGTTAATATCCCGGAACGGTATTTATTGATAAGAACGGAAGTTTTCACATGGAATTCCACTTTTTTCGGGCTTCGTCGAATTGCAATCAAAATTTGTAACGACTTGAAATTTATCACACCGAATGCGTCTTCGACGCAAGCCACAAACTTTTATTTGTAGTAAACAACAGCAACGTATCTAAGAAAAGAGTTGTAGAAATGCTCGGGCTCGTAAAAATTCTTCTGTAAAAATTCAGATAGAGCGAGTGAGCGGGAGAGAGTAATAAAAAAAGAGAGTGAGGAAGAGGACGTGTATTTGTGCTAAATTAAATGACATGAATCACCGTTTTTTTGTAATCGAAAAACGTGCAAATCAAATCAATCAAATATGATTAAATTACCAAACTTGACCAAAGAATGAAACGCATTTGGCTTGAAATGGGGCGTTTGAAATGAAAGAGTCCGACCGACCGAATGAGCATTGCTCGAGGCTCATTCGCACAAAAAAACCAAATCAAAAGCAAAAGCAATAGCAGTAGCCGGCACAACGATTAAATTCAAAAAGTCCAAAATGGAAATTGCGGTTCCGAGCGCTTGGATTTTTTGTTCATTTCTTGGCGGCCAGAGTTCGTTTCAACAGTGTAATTGTCAAATTTGTTTATTATGTCAAAAAAACACGAACGAATTTCAAGTGAAAAATTGTTCCGCAGGCAGAACTAATTCGATGCTCATTTCTTTTTTTCTTTCGATCTCGTGTCAATTTCTTCCAATTGTGTTCAATAGAAAGAAATTTATTGCTGTTTTGTCATTACAATGCACGTCGATAAGCATGCTCTTCATGACTCTTTTTTACCATAACACTTTGAAAATAGTAGACCAAAAGATGATTCAACGTAAAGATGTTTCGGTTTTTCTGCATTTACCATTATGTACCATGGTAATGTATTGTGGACATCGACATGACCTCAAACACTAGCCACTCCGCCGTGATGACAATAAACTGAGGGAGACATTCCATGACTATTGATGTTATTTTGTGAATGATTCCACGTTGAAATTCTTTTAATTTTATTCATGCGTTTTTATTGCATGCTACACTAGAACCGTTTACAATTTTTTGAATGAAATTTTTATAGCATCCACTAACGAGCTGCACACTTTGACTCCACACCGAAATTGTGTTTTCATCACAAATAGACGAGGTTGACGTGCTGCTTCGAGAGAGAGAGAGAGAGAGAGAGAGAGAGAGAGAGAGAGAGAGAGAGAGAGAGAGAGAGAGAGAGAGAGAGAAGAAGAAAAAACTACATTTCCACCAATGATACCCTCAATGAATTCCTCCGAAGAAAAGATCCAACGCTAGACGTTTTTTCCTCCGCTCATTCATTTGAATGAGTTTTTATTTTCACGGCGATTCGATTTATTGACGATCAAACAAATTGAAAGCACTAATCAAGCGATAAATAGCTATAAACAGCACAATAAATTGAAGGCATTGACATAATGTCAGCCAATGGTTTTTTTTTCCCGGTGTGGCCTAACACAATTATTGTACGGTGGCGGACCGTGGAACGAACCGAAGAAAAATATTTTGATACGATTTAACTCACGGTTTTCTTCTTCTTCTCTCTCTCTCTCTCTTCTACACGTTTGTTGTTGTGTGAATGGCTTTTCTTCGCGGAACACACACCGTGTACCTATGCATATATACACAGTGAACACGACGACGACGACGACGACGAATGAAGAATGTTTTTCTCTGTTTATCCATGCTCTCGTGAAAAAGAATTAAATGGAAATGACGTGCGAGAAAGCGACGGTAACCAGCCCATGCCATTGACTATGACGATGATGATGATGATCAATGAAATGGAAATGTGCTCAGTCATTTTCCGCGTATTTCCTCATAAACATTTCTCAAACGATCGTGTATAATTATTTAACCATTCATTTTCATGCAATCACTATCAATATAGATAAATTTCATTTGCTAAGCAGCAGCAGCAGCAGCAGCACCAGCAGCAACGATATTGAATAATTCATTCTTCATTCGGTGCGGGAGACAGGAACAGAGAACAAAATAAAATGAATTAAACACCCTAAATTGATTGCCTCTCCTAATGAATTGTCCACACACTTTAGAAAAGCGTTGGGTTTGCGCGCTGCTTGAGCATTTTTTTTATTGGTGCAACAAATCGAGAGGAAATCGACATTTACTGATTTGTATTCCATCCTTTAGAGATAGAGTCAATATTTTGACTGCTGGAAGCCATTGTAAACACCTTAATTTATGCACGAGAAACAAAATATTTACTCGAGCGCTGATGAGCACTTTTCGGGCGACAATGCTGAACGGTCTCTTTGTATTTTCAAATCCCTAATTTGTATTGTTTGAGGAAAAGACACGGAATTTTGGGGCAAAAGATACGGAAATCAAAGATTGGCGGTACCTGTGAAGCATGTAGTGCATGCCATGTACTAAAAGCCCATTTATGTTTAGTTCTAAAAAGTATGCATGCAATGAATGCCGGCCATGGAAACCATCAATTTCAACACGTTTGTATCCAAGACAACCTGCAGGGCCCAAACAATAATAATCAACAGCCCCTCGTCAAATCGAATGGCACACACAGGCTTTTCTGTTCATCACTGTGTGTCATTAACACATCAATCGCATCGCAAAGTGTTGAGACAAAATAATTTCTTCGTTTTGTTCGATTTGTGGTGCTTTCATTTCGTGTTTTTTTGTTGTTTCGTTTTAATAAATTTTGCGAGATAAATGAAGTGAAAAAAGGAAACGATTAAAGCGAATAAGGTGTCCGGAAAAAATTTCAAGTAATTTCAGTGTGTGACGATACAAAAGGTGAAAATTTGTGAAAAGACATGAAAACGAATTGTAAAGCCATTTAAAAAAAAAATATCTGCAATTTCGGAACGCAAAAGAAAACTGAATCGTTGTTGACAACATCCAAAAGGCGATAACGACCCGCAAAATTACAAAGACGACCGAAAACACAATGGCCGATTTAAAATTTATCGTGTCCGAAGTAAACAAACTAATTAACACGGACTACAACATGATTTCGTTCGATGCATTGCCCATTGCGAATTTGGTGCAAATTCTAGTGGACGTGCTGCATGATTTTGGCGCATTATCGAAGGTAAATTATTTTTCAATTGACGAGTACAATTGTTTTCATCGCTTTCGTGAGTGCCGAAAAATAATTGACGGTTGGAATTGGTGCGTGATGACCATTTATGGGAAGGTGGAATGGTGTCGTCGTCGTCTTCGTCGGCGGCGGTGTTGCTAATAGTGTGAAATGTCGAACTAATGTGAAAATGATCTTGATGCGATTCAAATTAATAATTAACTGGAAAGCAATGGAAAATGAAGTGATGATTGATTAAAGGGAACGGAGAAATGCGCGTAAAATGTGATTGTATAGCCAAGTATACAAATCACAGATTCTCAGATGTCCAAATGAGAACCACGCCGCATACACATTTACTCGCTTATATTTCGCTAATTGTGTACGCAACAATAATTCCATCGAATAAATGTAATTGGATACATCCATGTGGAATATGTACAATGCTGTGAAGAGCCCAAGTCGAATCGACGAGTGAAAGACAAAAGTAATCGCAACGAAGAAAAAAATTACAACGCTTCAGAAAGTGAATCAATGCAAAATCTCATACGCACTTTTTTTTTGCCCTGATGCTGCGGCATCGCGAATGAATATGGCAATCAGATGGTGATTAAAAGAGGCGAACGAACAACGACTGCGGAAAAAGAGAGTAATGCCAAAGAAAATGATTGGCCAAACAATGTACTGATTATTGCAACGTTAATTTTATGCCATTTATCATTTTCACAAAATAACACCGCTGCCGAGCACTTCGTACAAAAGAGGTGCTTGGTGCTGGACTGAGAGAGACTCAGCACACACTTCTTTAACTAGTTCGAGTACACACTCGGTGATAACGCACTCAATGCAGTAATTTGTTTCGTCTTTTTAAGTCGCTCGAATGCCGATTCCCGAACGGCGTGAACGCGAGCACTCGAACCCAAGCTCATTCTCTCCCAACCAACCAAGCAACTCACTACGATACAACATATTTTATTTCGTTTATGTATAATTTAAGTCAATTTTTTTCTTTTCTTCTCTCGCTCGTAGTTTGATGTGAAAGACTCTGATCCCGACTTCACGAAGACCCGCATACTGGAAGCATTGAATCGTATTCAATACCATCGAATCGAGCAAAATTATGCGTCGTTGGCGAGGAAATTATTGATCGGCGATAAACAAGAGATATATAATATTTTTCAATATATTTTTAAGGACAGTGAGAAGAATCGGAATGCTGTTTATTTATCCAAGTAAAAAATGGGGCCCCCACTTTGCATTTGCCATACAAATTACTGTTCATTGCCTCAGTTTATTCAGATTTATGATCTTTCTTTTTTTGCCCGTTTTTCTTCCATTTCTTTGCGCTGCGATTCATCTCCATTATAATTTGCTATTTTGTCATGTATTTGCTTTGCTTCACATTTTTCAGTTGCATCTTTGGTGCAATTGGAAGCAATTTCCACAAAGAAGTGTTTTCTTTCGTTTTTGTTTTTAATTTTTTTTTAATCACCTTTTTCTTTTTTAAAGAAGATTATTATTACTTTCTGCTCTTTCTCCCCATTTGTTTTCCACATAGAACGTTACATTATTAGTTAAATGTGTTAACTGTGTTGAAAATTGTAATTTTCTCGCCTAGATACTTGATACCAATTGATTTACCACCTGAAGCACTGGCCAACGCCGACATTGCCATGCTACAAGATGAATACAATCTCATAATGAACGAATTTAAAGACGCACATAAACAATATCAGAAATCGATGAAAGAAAATTCACAGCTGCGCGAATTACGCAGTGATGTTGATATCATCGAAATGGAAAAAGAAAACGGTGAATATAGAAATATCGTTTTTCTTTCTTCAAAATGCAGTTTCTGTTCCATCAACTATTCATCACTTGAAATTGAAAATTAATCGATTGTCTTGAACTTGACCTCTGTCTTATTTGGTTGACTTGCGATTTTCGAGGAATAGAGCGAAAAACATACCTGAACACTTTTGTTGTATTTTTTTTTTAGTGAAGAAAAGGATCGACCGCACGCAGTCACGCTTAGACAAACTGTCGAATCAGGAGTTACTTTTGGAAGCCGCTCATGCATTGCGAATCGAACGAGAACGGCAAAAGGAGCTCAAAACGCAGCTTGAACACCAAACCGAAGACATTCAAAGAGCATCAACGGTAAGCGTGAAATCGTTTTTTCTTCTCTCACTCTCTCGATTGGAATGTGCAAAAAATCAAACACCCTACCACCTAACATTAAATGATTATTAGATTCACACGAGATTGCAAAATGACATGAAAATTGCCCGCACCAATTCATTGGAACTATCACCACATCAAATAATGAATTCATTGAAGGAAAAAACGCAGGTCAGTCAAATCGCTTAGGCCACATTTGAATCGATTTATTAAACGGTGGGACGGGAATAAAACACTCTTTCTGTAGGTACTTCAATTTATGGTTGAAGAAAAGTTGCCCAAGGAAATAGACGCTAAAAAGTTGGAATTGCAAGTCTATGAGGATGTAATCAATGAACGCAACGTCAACAATCAATACTTGATTAATCTGCAAAATCAGGTAGACAAAAATGCGATAAATTTCAATGTGCGGCTGAAATTATGAATTGAATTTGTTTGATTGACTTTCACAATCACGCGCATTTAGATTGATAAAATAAGCCGCGAGTTAAAGACAATATCGGAAAATAATTTCGAGCGTCGTGAACGTGAATCGGATAATTTGGTGCCATTTCGCCAGCAAGCAGCCACAGTGATTCGGATTAAAGAGACATCCGCCGAGCAATTGGATGAACTAACGAAATCGACTCGTGAAATTGAATCGATGATCGCACGAAAACAAGCCGCGCTCAAGGAACGTGTTGGCGAAACGTATTTGCGCGGCGACGATTTAAAACAATACGTTAATATGTTGAAAGCCAAGAGTTCTGTGTACAAAAAGCAACGTGCCGAATTGTCAGCGCTAGAAGTAAGTGTTCATTCAATGGTTCGCTTTTCCGTTTCTTCGATTTTTGTAGTACGTGTAGGAAATGCGGCAGTAATAATGCCGTGCGGATAAAATCAATCGAACAGAAGAGAGAAAAATGTGCAACACCCTCCGAATGTATCATCAATTATGTTTTTTTAAACGGTTTTTTTTTTATTATCCACTTCACTCCCCGATTAATATTCAGATCGAATACAAAGATTTGGCATCGACGCTGGAGAAATTGAAAGCCCAACATCCATCGCTTTATATACCGACAGATGGATCGTTCGGTGATGGTGATAACAGCGCTTTGCCCGATGATATAAAACCATTAAGCGATATGACCAATGCCACACCAATGGATATTTCACGTTTGGTATCGCATTTAACGAAAGTTGTGACCACGGCACGGGAAGAAGTCGGCACATTGTTACACGAACTGCAACCGCTTAAGGAGAAGATCAACGTGCTGAAAGATGATTGCGATGAAAAAAAGAAGGTAAATATCGAAGTATCTGTTTTCGCCAATTTTTTGATCTGTTTTACATTTTATTTTGCCTTATTAATAAGAACTTTATGAATTCACTTTTCTTTAACCGACAATAAATTCCGTTCTTTTCACACGAAAAAATTCGCCTGGCATTTGAATGAATCAGGGCTACAATGCGGTGCAAACGCAATTGAATACCGAATTAGCAATGATACAAAGTGAAGTAAGTGAAACGGAAAATTCAATCAAAGATTTGGAGCGGTCATGGAATCATTTGCAGGTAACGTACAGTTCAACCCAATCAACCTAACCGAATTTAATGATCACAATGCCAAGAAAAATAATGATGAACAGTCGAGAGCAAGAGAGCCTTGAAATAGTAGTTGGTTTTATAAATAAAATTAAAAATTAAAGCAAAAAAAATCACCATCGAACACAAGCTCTCGATTGTGCATAAGTAAATAAATGAGCATGCTCCTTTTTTTCCCGTAAGATGCAAACATTTTATGATTGCTTTGTGCATTCTTTTTTTCTTTTTTTCCTTTTCATTTTCTTTTCTCCCCGCCGTCTTCTACTATACCGCTGAAAAATGCGCAGACCATACAAGATCGGCACAAAGCATTGCTGCAAAAAGCGCAAGAAGAGCTTGAAGGAAACACTTCAAATAAATTATCGCTGAAGGCAACACTTACCGATCAGATCAAAGAACAGGAGACTACGTTAGCAGCAGTGAAAGAGGTATGCAGAGAGACAAACGAGATTTTTTTTCTTCTCTTCTCTTGCTTCATTTATTGATAGGGCTTCCACTTACACCTTTAACAGACTTATTGGCACACATGAGAACAGGACACATTTATTTTAAGCAAATACAATGCACGTTTGCCTGAACATGGCAACAGAAAATTTCATATGCACAACGCAATGTTTTTTTTTTGGTCTCGTTGAATTAATGACGAGGAAAAAAAGCCCAGTTTCAAATTCGATTTTCGTTCGAGCACACATTGCTAATAATTTTAATTTATTGGATTTGGTTTTTCGTTTCATTGTTTTTTCATTTATATGGTCACTGGTCAGGAGGTGCAACGGATGAAAAATGACAAAAATAATATCGGTCTACAGCGCAGCATGTGGTTGGACTTAAACACATTATTAAGTGTTAAAATCGAATGCCACCGGGATGCGATGGAAGCTGGTGCTGGCGGTACGCTATCGGTAAACAAAGGTGCCGAAACGTTCACACTCAGCTAAGAGAATAAGATGGACGATGGGTTCAACTGGGCACGAAGAAAAAAACTACCTGCTCATCAGCCGGAAACATCACAAACGAAGGGGAAAAAAAACAACAACAGCAGCAACTGGCCATAGATTGGCGAACTTAAATTAGTTTCATTTTTAATAAATCTAAGGAATCTTGTTGAAGAAGCACAAAACAGACCAAAAAAAGCAACAACACACACACACACACACACACACACAAAAACCAATAAAAAGAAACGTTTGTGATTTGTTGAGAATCAATAATTCTTGTTGTTTTGCAAATTAGCATTCTTTTGCATATGAATCTTAGCCAGGTTTGCGCTGAGTGAAAATGCAAAGTGTAAACATGCGGAAAAAAAGGTGAACGTATTAAAACACGAACAAAGTGTTGGACTTGTGAATATATCGACAAAATACATATTTGCTCGTACAAATTATTGAAGTATGTGCTCATAAAAATGTCGAAGATTGATTTTGTTTTACCTTAGCTTTTCTATTAACCTTCGTGCTTCAATGTGCTGATGTTACATGCCAATACAACGTGGCTAAATGACGAAGCGGCGAGAAAATTTAAATATGGTAAATCAACAACAACAACAACAGCAACGATGATGACGACAACGAAAAAAAAAAACGGGAATGCAATGATTGAATGTACGCGCTCGTTTGTAAAAATATACGTCTGCAAAGAAGAACACGAATTATTTGGTTTGAATGATTCACGACCGATGCATGCGAACTCAGCCAACATTCGCTCTTCAATCGAAAGGCGATACTATTTCATTTATATGATAGGCATTGTGGTTTTTTCTCTCTTTTCTCTCTCTCTCTCTCTCTTGATTCCACCGCCAACTCATAGGCATTCGTAGACATCCTGTCTCTACTTACTTGCTCAGTACACTCTTGCTAACAACTGCTTTGAGCACGGTGGCGAAGCAATCGTTTACGTTGCTATTCCATGCTTCAGTGGATTCTGTAGGTTGAGAACACTTTTCATTTTCAAATTGCTTTTGCCAAATGTCTCGCTCAATTGCGGGAGAATTCTTCGAATGGAATCAAATTATTGGCTTCAAATATGTTCACAATACAAATGGAAAAGCAATGGTAAAAAAACATCGAATTATGTTCAATTTGACCAATGTCCGATGGACATTGTACATATGGACGAATTTCGGCAAAATCGAACCGGTGAGCGAACCAAAAATGTTCTTTAATTTTTTCCAAATTATGCGAACCTAATGCGTAAAACAAACGAACGACAATTAGAACGGGCTGTTTCTTTGGCCAATGACAATTGTCATAAAAATATTATTGTATTGAAACAAAAGGCTACGGTGTCACCTACGATTAGTTCCATACAAATTAGGAGCTTGGTTTCTTCTGTTTAAAACGGTTAAAAAGAAATGAGCAGGCTTTGGTACTGCGGTTTTTTCTTCTCTCGTGCGCTAAACATTTCCTTCAATCGACAAGCATTTATCTGGGCTCGAGCAGAGCAATGAATTGTCGTGTTTCATCCACTGTGTGTATTTAATAACTGTAATGGCATCAACGTAACGTGTACTGTAATTATTGACACGAACAGCGTTTACTTGGTAGCTGCTGCATTTTCACGGCATGCGCAACCAGAGCTACGTAACAAGAAAAAAGTACGTGATAAAAGGAACCTAAATGAAATGAAGAGAGAGAGAGAGAGAGAGAGAGAGAGAGAGAGAGTGAGAGAGAGAGAGAGAGAGAAAAAGATCCAACCAAGAATACCGCAACAACAACAAGGGAAAAAAGCACCGAACGACGGCAAACACCAAATCATTAATCATGATTAATTATCGTTTTGTGTTTATATTATGGAGTTTCTTATTTCGGCATCTGAATCATACGAGTGAGGAAAAAACAACGAAATAAAGAAATACATCTTTAGTACTGACTGACTTAATTTTCGATAAAAGTGCTTCAGTTCAGTACGCGCGCATTGCTGCGCACATTCGGAACACCTCGTAAACACATGCCCACGAATGAAATTTTTGTCGTCGTCGTCGTTGCTCTGCAATCACGTTCGATTTATGATTCCTTTTGCACTCCAAATCGATCTCGTTTCCATTCAACGTGCTGGCAATGTGCAGCAAACGTAAAGATACAAACACACTTTAATCGCACATCGATTTCAGGCCTGAAGATTTAGAAAAAAGAGAGAAGAAAACCGAGTGCTTGTGTGAGAAAGTGCAAACAGTCGTTAAATGATTTGTAGATGGAACAGTTTTAATTTTAAATGTCATTTTCTTTACTAACTTGTTAATTTGAAGACATTTACATTGCCATTCATTGCACATTCCCAGTTGGAATTTATTTAGTGCTTTCTGTAGCAGCTACACTGAGTGTAGCTTTAGCTCTAGTTTTAACTTCTTGAAACTTGTCAAATGTAAGAAAATATGAGAAAAATGTCCACTTTTTCATTTCGAACCGCGTTATTTGAAATAACTCATATCCAAAGTCAGACTTGAATAGAGTTTATTCAATAGACCATATTTCGTCTAACAAGCTGTCAAAATGGAGTTTCACCGTATTCGGAACAATTTCTAACATACATTTCTTCTGCTGTACGATCCTGCTCACTTCGAAATGCATTGCAAATGAATGATATGTTCAGAAGCATTCTCATTGAGCCATCGTATCTAAGTCAGCAGTGCGCACGGACCGTTTTTTCAGCTATCCATATCCAGTTGGTCTGATAACAGCATAAACGGAATGAATAAATGGGGAAAGAGTAGGAAATGCAGGGCGTAACCGTTTAAAAGTCTTTCACATCAAAGATATCGTTGGTTTCGTTTGTAATTAAAGCGGCATTCTTGTTAGTACTACAGAAATTACATAATCAAACATGCTTCAACGCGAAGTTTATCATTTTAGTGATTTGATATCATACGAAGATAGAGCAACAATGTAAAAAAGAAACGCTATCTCGTCTGGTTCGACTATAATTATATTGAGTGTGAGCGATCAACACAAATCATATCTTGAGATTTGAAAAACACCCCAAATTGTGTGTTGGTTTGCAATTTTGGCCAAATAACATTGAATTCAAATGGTATGCTTTATAGTTAGTTTTTTATACAAAAACTCTAACTTATGCTACTAATCAAATGCTTTTATGAAAAACTGCTCACAACAACAACAACGAAAAAATGTTTGCCACTTAAATTATCCAATTTATAAACATCGCACCAATTGAAAAGAAACACACAGCGAACGATAATGTTCGAAAAGTTGGTACAATGAAAATATTATGTCAAAATTCAGCACGAAAAACCGCTAAAAATGACCGAATAACAAAAGAGAAACCGCAAAAAATTATATTCCGACAACAACATACACTCACTCACTCACATCGAAAAAGAGGAATAAAAAAAAATCATATACATAATTGCATGTGAGCAAGCGCTGCAATGCTCCTTCTCCTTCTATCTCATTTTCTAAGTTTCAGTTCGCGCGGCTTTCATCGTAGACTGACAGACTGCACTGCCCCGTGTTGTGCAAACAACCCGAAAACTCTCAGTTTGCCTCGTTCTGTGTCTTTTCTCTCGCTCTCTCGCTCTCTCTCTCTCTCTCTCTCTCTCTCTTGTTGGTGAGTTCATTTGTGTGTGCGCGATTTCATAATAAACGAAATTAATGATGTAGGATAATTTATACTCATGCCAAAGCGTCTCCGATTGTAAAAGCTGTGCCACAAATTCATGTAAAATTGTGGTATATATTATATACCCTCGTCCCATTGTAAGCTCTTCATTCAGCCATTTGAACCAGTCCATTTAATTATGTTCATTAGTATTTATCATGAACGATGATTTTGTTTTCTCCTCATCCAGGATAGAAATCAATGCACGCAGACAGAAAAGAACAGATCTTTCTGTTTGTGTTGTGTGTATATTGATTTTCCATTTCATTGTTAGTATAAATCAGCTTCATTTATGCTCGTATCGATCACAGAAACGACCAAAAACCAATTTATCGAAAAGATGATTGGTGTTCTAAATTGCCCACATCGCGCATTCATTTACATAACAGGATCAGAATGGTGTTTTCTTTTTTACCTATTGCTCGCCTCGTTCACAGAGAGATGCAGAGAGAGAGATCGTTAAATTCTCGATACAGAGCGGATCGTCGGGCAGATCTTGAAGTGGTGAGTGTGGAAAAAGCAATCGTCATAGGGCTAACAATGCCGCCAACAAATGTAACAACGTAAAAACAATTTTTTTCCTCTTGTGTTCTTCTGAGAGATTCTGTGTGTATATACTTATACATATAAAACGAGGCAAGACGAAGTATAATTTGTTTTAGCTCTGGTGTGCAGAGCGAGAGAAAGGGAAATAGATAGATTTTGCCTTCACGAGAAGAGAAAAATTATGAGTATGAAAGCAACGATGCTAACGAAAACGGCAAGGTGTCGGACGATTATGATAAACAACACATTCTTGAGTTTTACGGGAAAAAAAAGAGCAGTAACAACAACAGCATTCAGACGCGTATGCACAAAGAGAAAAGTTTGTGGTTCACCGATACGGTCTCTCGAGGTGTGAGAGTGATCGACTAATGTGTTCCGAGATTGAAAATCAGCAACAATATCAACATACGAAATAAAAGCAAAAAAGAAAAAAACGCAGGCACGAAGAAAAAAGAAATAACAACGAAAAAGTGAGCATCAAAGAGAAAAACCATCGTAATAACTACCTGCCGCACAATTTTATTACATACGACGCGATATGCAACGTGTTTTGCTCCCTTCATCTCGTTTAAAAAGAGCATCGTTTGCACGTTGCTGCCAAAACACAGACCGATCCGATCCGAGCGCGCTCCTCCGAATTGCTGTTTCGTCTTCTTCTCACATTTTCATATTCCCGAGACCGAGCGCGCACGCGCACGCACAAGTTCGCTCGGCTGAGTGTCTGTACGTCGGATTTTATGCATCGGCATATTCCGCATTTTGAATATAACTATAGACTGAGAGACTGACTGACTCCATAATCCAAACAACGTGAAATATAAAATTGCCTTATTTTTAAGTGATGATGAACATATGTTGGCCGGGCAGCCGTTGATTTTTCCTTCAGATTGAACGATTCTCAACACATACACGTGCATTGCAAACGATGGCCGCTTTCAAATACGTTTGGCCGATGTCGTACATTGATCTCTTTCATTGGTCTGTGGCATAATGGATTTCTTGGTTTGAATCGAATCTAAGCACATTGTTTACATTTGAATTCGTTGTT